AAATAAGTAAACCACTTGGACATATACTTAATGCATCACTTGAACATGGAATTTTTGATATGATGATATGGAATNTGAAATTTGCATCAGTAAGACCTGTACACAAAACAGGTGAGAAAGCCGTTATGGCAAATTATAGACCAATATCACTGTTAATAATCTTCTCCACAATATTTTAAAAAACAGGATAAAGCAGCACTTACATACAAATAATCTAATTTCATTTGCTCAGTTTGGATTTAGAGAAAATAGAAGTATGGAAACTGCAATCTGTGCCCTAACTAATCATATATTAGAAACATTGGAACAACGCCGTCATTCATTAGGAATTTTCTGTGATTTGACAAAGGCTTTTGATTGTGTGGTTCATGATATCCTTTTGAGCAAGTTGGCAGCATATGGACTTGGTGGTAAAACTTTAACATGGTTGAAGTCATATTTGGGAAATAGAAGGCAAAGAGTGGAATTGTATACTAATGGGAATGAAAAATGTTGTTCAGGATGGGAGACTGTTGAATATGGAGTGCTGCAGGGCTCGATTTTGGGTCCCTTGCTGTTTCTTTTATATATCAATGACCTGTCATCAGCATTAAATACTGATAATAAGTTACTGTTGTATGCAGACAATACAAGCATATTAGTATCAGGCATTGATCTTGATGAAATCCAAGTAAGGTCCAACATTGTGTTGAATTCTTTAAGCCATTGGTTTGCATGTAATGGCCTGTCTCTAAATCTGGAAAAAACTAAAGTGTTAAAATTTGATACAGTTAATTGAGATAATATGTCTATACATTTAAAGTTTAATGATGATATATTGCATGAGGAAACCCACATTAAATTCTTGGGCATTGAAATTGATAAGACCCTGAATTGGAAGTCACAGATTGAAGTGATGCTGTCTAGATTGGGCTAGGCATGATGCTTTGCAATAAGAAACATGAAATTGTATAGCAATATTAAAACACTAAGGATGATTTATCACGCATACTTTCATTCAATTATGAGATATGGGATAGTATTTTGGGGAAACTCGTTGGAGGCTAAGAAGATTTTTCTTTTACAAAAGAAGGCTGTCAGGATAATGATGGGAATGAAACCCAGAGAATCATGTAAAACAGTTTTTAAAAAATTAAAAATTCTGACATTGGCTTCTCAATATATTTTAACTTCAATGATACTAATGATAAACAATTTGGGGCATTATACTTTTAATCATACAATTCATGGTAAATCAACAAGACAAGTTAGAAACCTTCATGTTCCTCAATTACATCTAACAAAGAGGCAAAAAGGGGTCTATTGCATGAGTGTAAAAGTTTTTAATAGTTTGCCTGATTTTTTAATTGAGTTATTACATAATAAAAAACAGTTTATTGGAAAACTAAAGGATGTATTGCTTCAAAACCGTTCTTATACTGTTGAGGAATTCTTGCTTTTCTGTCAAGACCTGCAGCTAAGGAAAAGATGTGTCTGACAGTGCACACTTCACTAAACACTATGTCCTTGGCTGTGCTTATATATACTTGCTGCAATTTGTATTGCCTTTTAACTATTTATGTGTTTTTGACAAGTATGGTTTATATATGCTAGTGATTTTATTTGTGAATGTATAAGTGTCCAATGTTTTGTTTGCTTGTTGACATGTTTTATATTCGGTGCTGGTGGCACATTTATGAATATTTTAAAGAAACGCAAATGTATATAGTATGTATGTGTGAGTTTTGTGGTTTCTGTTTCTCACTTTATTCGTAGGATAATTATATCAAAGAGGTTGTACTGACAGTGTTCATGGGGCTGAACATGAAATGCATACAAAGTTTTGATTAGAAAATTTTATGAGGAGAAGTATCTTGGGAGGGGGCTCAAGTATAGATGGAAGGATAATGTATCTTGATAAATAGTTTGTGAGGATGTGAACTGGGTGAACTGTATCTGTAGTGGGCATGTGAATATAACCTTAGTTTTGAATAAACACAAGGAAGTTGGATTTAACATTCTCACATTAGTGACTATGAGGAGTACTACCTCCATCTCCAGGGTCAAAGATTAATATGAAGTTCTACTGGATTACACAATGTTACATACAGAAGTTAGTTTTCTTCAACTCAAAGATGTTTCTCAGACATTTGGTGAACTCATCTGCTTGAGAAGCTTCCAGAAACAAGACACTTTTAACACACTGATCTTAAGTAATTGGATGTAATTGGCCAAGCATGAGTGACTAATTGTAGAAAGTCTTTATGCACATTTAATTAATAAACCAAAGGCTAGAACAGTGAAACTGCCTATAGATGAAGTCATAGCAATCTTGTACACTCAGTGTTAGAAAAGATGTGAATTAGTGGAAGCATTCTTGGTGGAATTACATGGCCATCATGTTAAAGTCGCTTTCAAGAATGGCAGTTCTGCTTGTGTAACCAAATAATATTAGTTTGCTTACATCTTTTCCAGAAACTTACCTGTAAATTCTCTAAATGACACTAGAAATGTGGTGACATCTCCAGTGGAAATAATCCAGTGTTTTAAGAGTATATGTTGTGGCAGTATTGCACTCCATGAGTTATAACTGGATGGAACACTAGATTGAGCACAGTAAACAAAGCCTATACATTGCTAAAGGGCTGTTTGTTGTCTTCAGCCTTGAAGCCCCAGTTTGCAGCTTCGAAGGAGATTGAAGACTTGAGTTCTCATTTTGTCATGGTGAATGCGGAAGATGATGAGGAACCAAAGGAAGAGCAGTATTCTCCAGATGGGGGATACATTCCTAGAATCCTTTTCATTGGTAAGCAAATTAATGATGTATGGCAGAGGGAACTAACTTGGTATTTTTCATTCCTACAAAATTTTATCTTCATTAGAAGTGGCAGAAGGGAAAAGCATGTGGAAAAATCAAGACTGGACCTGTCTGGTCTTGAATCTAGAACATCTGGCTCTGAAGCTTGTCACTATACCTGTAAGGTCCTCTTGCCTCTAATTATTTAACAAAGTATCAGTCAAATTTTGACTGATCTTTTTTAGTTCAGTAAGATAACATAACCAAATCCTGCATATGTTTCACGAGTTCACTTTATTGCCTTAGCATGCAAATATAACCAGTTCCAGTTGCCAGGTGCATTGTGTGCACCATTGGTGTTTTCATTCTGTCAGTCTTATGGTACACTTATTGTGCCATAATTTATCAAGGTTGTTGTGGACTGTAATGATAAGAGTGCGGTAGCTGGAGTTGTATAACTTGGTGCTTGTTTCATTTTTCATTTCATTTCATTTATTTACATGTCAAAAATCCTTTACAAGGTCGTAAGACTCAGGATATAGACAATAGTCCAATATAACAATTAAATATAATAATTACAAAAAATATAATACATGTTAAAATATTTATGCAAACACAATTTTAAAATTATAAAACTTGTAATTTAACTTTTCACCAATTAAGTATTTAATCCCAATAAAATCAATTATCAATCTTCTTAACCGTGTAATCAAAAATTTCATCAATACCATAAAATGAATGTAAATGGAGAAATTGTAATAGTTCTTTCTTGAATCGATTTTTGTTTTTGGATAACTGTTTTATTTTGCGTGGAAGACTATTATAAATTTTGATTCCAAAATACTGTGGACCTTTCTGAAATGCTGTTAGATTTGATGAGGGGAGATGCAAATTTGAACTATTTCTTGTTGCAGTTGTATATATATCTGAATTTTCTACAAATAAATCCATATTATTAACTACAAACATCATCAAAGAATATATATATTGAGAAGGCAGTGGTAATATTTTCAATTGTCTAAAGATTTTTTTACATGAATCTCTGTTTCCAGCTCCCACCATTATTCGAACAGCTCTCTTCTGCAATTTAAAAACGCACATACTGAGAGTTCTATTTCCCCAAAAAATCAAACCGTAAGACATCACTGAGTGGAAAAAGGCGTAATACACCATTTTAAGGGCATCAATATTTAAATACTGTTTGGTTTTCCTAATTATATAACAGGCTTTATTTAATTTACCTATAATTGAATCTATATGCCCTTTCCAAGATATTGTGTTATCCAGTGTCATACCCAAGAATTTTACCTCATTTGACTCTAATAGAATTTTGTTTCCATATTCAATATTTAATTTTTTGGTAAAATTATGTTTAGCTGAGAAATTTACACAGCAAGTCTTGCCTAAATTTAATGAAAGCATATTTGAATTAAACCATTCATTCATCGATCTAAACACTGTAGTAAGTTTTTTTTCCAGCTGCATAAAATTTAATTCATTTACTATTACACTTGTATCATCGGCAAAGAGCACAACTGATGTATGTGATGGGACAGAACACTGTATAAAGGAGGGTAAGTCATTTACATAAATCAAAAACAATAGCGGACCCAAAATCGATCCTTGAGGAACTCCTTTATCAATTTTTCCCCAATTAGATAACTTATTGTTAAATTTTACTCTTTGGTATCTATTTTCTAAATATGACTCAATTAGAGAATACATCACACCGCTTACACCATAATATTTCATTTTAACCAATAATATACCATGGTCCACACAATCAAAAGCCTTCTCCAAGTCAAAAAATATACCACCACTTTTCCTTTTATTATTTAAGGCCATCAGTATATCATTTGTTAATTTGTAGGTTGCATTTATAGTTGATGTGTTCTTCCTAAATCCAAACTGACAATTTGAAAGGATATTATTTGTAATAAGGTGAGCCATTATTCTCTTATATATAACTTTTTCGAAAATCTTAGAGAAAGATGGTAATAGAGAAATTGGTCTAAAATTTGATACATTATTTTTATCACCTTTCTTGTATATAGGGGTAACAATCGAATATTTCAGTCTACTTGGAAAAACACCTGTAGATAATGACTTATTTATAATACAACATAATGGAGAGCTAATAAAGGGTGCACTAATTTTCAATAATTTTATGGATATTTCATCGTAACCACAACTGTTTTTCCAGGGAAGATTTTTTATAATTTCTTCAATTTCGCCTGTAGAAGTATTGTGAAATATTATGTTATCATACTGAAAATTTAGAATCTGCGATAAGTTGAATGGAGAGTAAGTAGTGCTATTAGTATTTAAACTATTATTACTCTTAATTTTACCAGAGATGCTTTCAGCAATTTTTAAAAAGTGATCGTTGAAATTCTCAGCATTAATTTTTATGGAAGCTTCTTCACAATTTGTGTTTTGTTTTGTTGTTCTTAGAATTCTGTGAAAGATTGGCAGATGCACAGAGGAATATATTTCATTTTTGTCCTAAACTATAAACATTTTTAGCACTCTGCAAATAATTCATTAAAAAGAAAGAAATATCTTAAACTTATCAATTTTTGTTACTGACTAGGTCACACAGGACAGACAAGGAAGAGTGCCACATTATACATGTTGATCAGAAATGATTGAAATATTTGTAATGCAGAACAGTGTTGTTGAAAACTGTCAGTGTATTTATGGAGATCATCAGATCTGTGCAAAAATAAAGAAATTATGGTCCTTATTTCATAGTTCAGTATCCCTATGCCTCTTCCAGGTAATGCATTGATGTCACACATGGTTTATTTTTAATGCACTTAATTAAAAATTTCTTTTACTTAGAACCTGCTGGCAAAGTAAGAACAGATTTCTTCAATGAGGATGGCAATGCATCATACAAGTACTTCTACTCGAATGCAGACAGTGTGGCTGCCACCATGAGAAGAGTGAAGAACTCAATCAGATCTGACAGTAGGACAATGGAAGAGCTCTGAATGCTGAGGACAATTTGTATTTCTTTGGGGTTCAACAATGCACATTTTGTTGTTTCATGTGATTTTGATATCTCATACATCATGACTCAGCTGCTTGTTGTGAAGGATTTGATATTTTCTCATCTCACCACAAGTACAGTTGAACTGCCCACACTTATATGAGCATGGAAATGTCATTTGTTAGCTCATGTTTTTTTTCTTTTTGTGAGTTGCATAAGACAGAAACAACTAAACAGACTGTTTAAAAAATGGAGTTACTCTTAGAATAGAGATGTCTGTGGGTGTGTTCCCCCACTCCTTTGCTCAGAACATATACTAGGGTAAGTCAATAAGTAAGTTACAAATGGATGTAGAAGTTACACTGATTTGAAAAATGCTTTTATTTTTCAATATAATCTCCCTGTACATTGAGGCACTTGTCCCATCATTTCACAAGCCCCTGAAAACCAGCAGCATAAAGTTCTTTGGGCCACCGTTAGAACCAGGCGTGTTCACACGACATGGCCTACCTCACAATGCATGACAGGTTGCATGCTTCTGTTGAATGGCCTTACAAATTTTCCTGAGGATGTTACAGTAGGAGTCAGCATTTATGGTTTGTCCTTGAGGCTGGAATGTGGTGAGCAGTATGCCTTCGTGATCCTAGAAGACTGTGAGCATCACTTTCCTGGAGGATGGTGTAATCTTAAGCTTTTTTTTTTTTTGGCAGGCGACGCACGCTTTGTCTCAGGCTGGTAATGGTGAACCCAAGACTCATCACCTGTGACAATTTGGGCTAGCATATAATGTCCTTCATCATGGTAGCGATTGAGATGCTTAGAAAATGCTACATTTTGGAAGCTCGATCTGCTTGCATCCTCAGGTATATAAGTTACCCCATTTACACCCGTGGGTGGAAATGCATCCATCTTACAAAACAAGACAATAAGCAGCAGGAACATGAAGCTGAACACTCACCTAGCGCTGAGGTAAAGAAAATGTGGATCTATACATCAACCCCACCCCCCATTTGCCATCATGGTGTAGTGCTTAATTAGTTAAGCACAGGGACAGCTTTACCTTTTTACCCAAGATGATGGTCAGTGTCTGATGTAATATTTGTGTTATGAATACCAATTGTCACAAACCTTTGGAAGAGTACTAAAATGTGTTTGTTATATCTCTAGTTTTGACATTGAGGCACTTATTTCACTGCGTGAGTAACCATGTTGAACATGTGGAATGTGATGCTGTGCAGTCTCATAGATGAAGATGGAGGCATAAAATTCCTACAAAATACTGGTATATATCTACCAGACTATATGGCATCATGTCCCAGAATGCTGTGATGTTAATATTCACTAATGTTTCATATTGTGGTGAGGATGAAGCTCACTGCCTGGAAGCAACATGTATATCACAATACACTAATTCAATAAAGTCCAGTGTTCATTGACCTTTATTCAGTGTTTATTTTTTTGTTGCTGCATAAAATAACATGCAGAATACATCTTGGAAAAATTAAATGATTACAAACAACCATCATATTTAAAATTTTACTGAAATATCAACAAACATATGGTACATCTGATTTCACAAGTCTCATGGCTCGTTTGTTATTGTATATAGCTAATCACATAGAAATGCAGTCTCAGACATCAAACTGAGAAGCATGCTGATTGGAAGAAAGGGGCAGTACACTAGAATGTTAGACCATGACCAAGGATAAAGCAACTGATCAATCTTCAACATTAACTTATATTTTTCTATGAATTATCGCTTGGCAGTGAATAAAACAGGGTCTATGTTGAGATGGTTAGTGTGTACAACAGGATGGAAGCCAGGTAACGGTATGTTAAGATGTGTCACATCTACTGTTGTGGTTAAGAGAAGTGATGATGTTGCAATACACGTAATGCCTGTTGAGGCACGCTGATATTGATTCGGTAAATGTCCTGAGAATGTTCGTCACCTTCAGCACTCCTTGGAGCTCATTTCTTTTTATTCTTAATCTGTCTGTAAATCATTCTTCTTCTTTCTGTAATTAAATTCTGTATTTCAAAATTTTGTGTGATGATTATTAATAATTTTTATCAAATAAATTACACAAAAATATTTTGACAGAAACTGATCTGATGCGGTCATCACCCAGAGAATAAGTCACAGACAGTGGTTGCAGCAATCCCCTCCACTTTGCAAGGCACTGCATTGCATGGCTAGACATCGATCTGGAAGGAAGTTTCTCTGCTAAGCCTCGTGGAGGCTCCGCTGCGCCCAGACTTGCGTCCCAACTTGCTCATGTCACACTCTGCTTCACTTAATTCGTGTGAGTCTGAAAACCTTGAAGGAGGATGAATGCGATCACTGAAACTGCAGACAGAAAAGTTATGTAGAGACGGAGTGACGTGGTGAGAGGATGAACAAGCAGAATGGGGATTAGAACTGGCAGGTGTTGTCAGTTGATAGGTAAAATGTGCATCCTATATTAGAGGAAGGCTGAGGTGTTTGATTCTCAGGTTATCTAATTATACAAACTTTATTCATAAGCAGTGATGGAAAAGGGACACCTTCCTGCATCTACTCATGCACATGTTTTTTGTTGAGGGGATAAGCGTACCTGAATGTGTTTTCTTCGGTGTGACTAGAGTACCCACTACTACTTCGTACTTGCCGCTTTCCCATAATCTGTCCTTTGTTCTTGGATTTTCTGGATGGGTACGGTTTTCTCGTGTCTGATGGGGAAGTTTCAGAAGATGAACTAGATTCCTCCACCCCAGGCTTGCCCACTTCTGCAAGTTTTACAGTTCAGATTATTACTCTGTAGTTGTATTGCAAGCTGCACCCCAAATGAGGCTAATCAGTTTAGTGTTCTCAGCTAAAGCTATAGCACGCGTGCCTTATGTACAGATAATGCACATGCCCAAACTTACATTTTTTTATCACAGCCCCTTGGCTGTGACTTGAAGGCAAGTCATGCAGTGGAGGGCATTGCATAAAGCTCACCTCTTTTCTGTATACCTTGCACTTTACTGAGGCCACAGAAAGTCCCAAAGAATTCCCTTCCAGCCCCCTCCGACTGTGTCATCTAGTCAAAAGTGCTTATTGGTAGTGAAGGTTATCACTACCAATATTCAAATTAGCAGAAAGGTTAGACAGCTGGAGGGGAATATAGAGATGTACTAGTGAGGCAGCCATTCAATGGGTCTTCTTTCCATGGCCTCAGTGATAGGTCAGCAAAGTAAAGAAGAAGATTATTAAGGGCTGACCATGGGGGTCAGATGGGAAAAATAAGAAATGTATCCTCAGATCAGAGGGGAAATGAGTTGTAAGACAGTGAAGACTATGTTAAAAGGATCATATAGGAAGTGAAGTGGCTGTACTCACCTCGGGCCATCCTGTGCCTGAAAGAGACCAGCTCCTGGCTAGCGGCCACTTGTCCTCCTGGGATTTCTCCCTCAGAGTCACTGCCCAGTGTATCGTACTCTGAAATAGGCAGGTGCAGAGTTAAAATCTTCTTAACTTCCGAATCAGTGCTCCCCAGGTTGTCCGACTCTGAAACAACGTGGGTCGGAATCAGGACTGGCCCCACCCACTTCCCCTAGGACTTCAAATTAGGAGATTGGGAGAAGTTAAACTGAATGTCAGAGACTTTGGAAGACTGATATGTTCTGACCTGGTATAACTGCCTAAGGTTCACAAAGAGTCAATACACAGTAGGTAAAGGTGATCCCTCCTCTCCTGAGAGAGGGATATATTATAAACAATACTGTAAAATATTATCAAAAGTAATAATAGCTGCAAAAAATCATATTAGAATAGAATTATTCTTAATTCTAATAATAAAATAAAAAGTACTTGGAAAATAATAAATGAGGATAAAGGGAAAATAAAAAGGGGTAAAGGTATTCATTCCATAATGGTAGATAATAAAGTAATAATGAATCAGAACAAAATTGGAAATGCTTTTAATAAACACTTTCTATCTATAGCTGAGTTTATTATATCAGATAATAATAAATATATAAGCTCGAATTCATCCAATCCAATCAATTACTTAGTAAATACGTTTAGTAGACCTTTTACTAAAATGAATTGGCAGTGTGCCTCCACTTATGAAATTGAAAAAAATTATTAAATCATTAAAGACTAAAAGCTCAAGTGGATATGATGAAATTTCAAACAGAATAATAAAATTAAGTTCACCATTTATAAGTTCTCACATTTGTAATGCAGTACTTAATATTGGTATTTTTCCTGATAGATTAAAATTTGCCATAGTTGCCACTATTTAAAAAAGGGAAAACATATTATATCCAACTACAGACCTATATCATTGATTGATTGATTTATTTATTTAACATCCATAACTGTTACATTATGTACAATTGGACAAGTCAGTTTTTAAAAAAATATATGAGATTAAACATCACATCAAATGACTAATAATATAAAAAACCATAGAAAAATAACATAATGCTGTTGTTGACTTCTTTTTCTAAGATCACTGAAAAACTCATATATGTGAGACTTATTACTCATATTCAAGCAAATAAACTGTTGGTAAACAAACAATATGGTTTTAGGACACACTATCCTCAACTGAGAAGGCAGCTTTTACATTGATAAATAATATTTTATCTGCAATGAATAATAAGTTAATGGTGGGAGGAATTTTTTGTGATTTACTAAAGGTGTTAGCCATAAAATATTATTGGATAAATTGGAATTCTATGGAATTGAAGGAAAATTCAAAACACTTATAGGATCTTATCTGACATGTAGATATCAAAGAGTTGTATTGGGTAACAGAATTGACAGTAAAAATTAATTCAAATGGGAAACAATTAAATCTGGCGTTTCACAGGGCTTGATTCTTGGTTCCTTGTTTTTTCTGCTTTATATTAATGATTTACCTAAAATAATAAATAAAAATACTAATATGGTATTATTTGCAGATGATACCAGTATTATAGTAACTGACACTAATAAGTTAAACTTTGAAATAAATCTTAATCAAACCTTCAAAGATATAAATACATGGTTTAATGCTAATTTGCTTGCCTTGAATTTTAATAAGACTCAGTATGTCGAGTTTCGACCTATGAAATATTATAATATCACTACTCAAATTAACAATGATCAGATAAATTTAACAAATGTGAATGAGACAAAATTTCTGGGATTAATTATTGATGATAATCTTTTATGGAAACAGCATATTGATTATATTATTAATAAAATTTCCATTGCATGTTATGCACTGACAAATATAAAATATATTGTCCCTTTTGATATGCTAAAGCTAATTTATTTTCCTCATATACATTCTATCATAAATTATGGTATAATTTTTTGGGGTGGCTCTTCTTGTGTTAACAGATTTTTATATTGCAACAGAAAGTTATTAGAATTATAACGAATTCTAGACCAAGAGAGTCTTGTAGGGACAATTTTAAGAATTGGAAATAATGATGTTCTACTCTCAGTACATATATTCATTACTTTTATATACAATTAATAATAAACATTTATTTAATTTTAACAATGAGATTCACAAATATAAAACTAGAGCCCTCAATAATGTATATTTACCTGCAGTTAACCTAACAAAATGAAGGTGCGTACATATCAGGTATTAAAGTTTTTAATCATCTTCCGCAAACAATAAAAATGTTGGCTACTGATGTGAGAAGTTTTAAATCTGCATTGAAAAGGTTTTTATATCATCATTCTTTTTATTCCATGAATGAATATNCAAAAATGGTGAAATGCCAATTGATGACAAACCTCGTTCTGGTCGTCCTTCCACGGCCCAAACACATGAAAATGTTGAAAAAACTAGTGAAATCATCAAGGAAGATTGACGACGGACCATTGAAGAAATAGTGGAGCTGTTGGGAGTGACTTGGAGCTCAGTTCAGCGAATTTTGACAGAAGATTTGGGAATGAAAAGGGTGACTGCAAAATTCATGCCATGACTGCTGACTGCTGAACAAAAACAAGGTCGCGTGGAAGCATGCTGTGCTTTGAAAGAAGAGTCCCGAAATGATCAAAACTTTTTTGTGTTTCCTCGAATGAAAAGAGACATGAAAGGAAAGCGTTTTGCTGATGTTGCTGAGGTGAAGGAAAAAACGACGGAGGCGCTGTCAAGCATCTCAAAAGATGAATTTAGACAATGTTTTGAAAAAATGGAATAAAAGACTAGACAAGTGTATTAGTGTAAGTGGAGAGTACTTCGAAGGGGACTAAAGGTTTGTGCTTAAAATTTGAATAAATAAGTTTAAAAAAAAAATAAGTTCGGTTTCTTTTGGGTACCCCCTCGTATTATCAACATAACTGGTCATAAGTGTGTAAATTTGTAATGTATTTAATTTGGCTAATATAGGTAAATTAAATAAAATTGTATTAATTCAAGTTTTATAGTAAGTTGTTTTTAAATTATGTTTATTAATTAAAATCTTAATAAATCTTTTACTTCACATTATTATTTATGTTAATAGATTAATGTAAGTGATTTTGATTATGTGACTCATGTAATTTTGTATATGTACTTTGATATATCTATTTTCAAAGGGATCATTTCCACATCATAGGTTTGTTACCTGTATGGATATATGGAAAATAAAGGGAATGAATGAATGGAACAACCATATTCAGTTAGGCCTATTAAACATAACTAGTTTAATTCATTTCCAGTGATTCTCTGATTATTCCTGATGATGGAAACACATCCAGTTTCTGAAACACTGTATATTTTAAATGTGCCCCAGACAATGGATAATGTCCTATGTGATAGTTGTACCATGAACATTAATATGATTTTCTGTACATTTCAAATATATCTATTGGCATTGAACAAGAGATGACTAGATAATAGTACCTTGGCTTTCAGAGTGGGGATCCCGCAGTTTTCCTCCTTTTCTCCTAACTTTAGTGTACTCTGGTTCTTTCTGCTGAAAAGTACAAAATTGCTTTAGTATAATGTATGACTCTGGCTTTCAGGAATACAGGGCACAAAATATAAAAGATTTTCAAATGTTTCAGCAGACATTACAGTTATCATTCAAAGTGACAATGTCTTGGGGGTATCAACAGCCCTTATACATGGGCTGTTCAAAAAGCACAGTTGTGTTATCTTAGGAATTTCAGCACTTTGAGATATTACCAGTGATTCACTATTTGCCCCTGATATAAGAATTAATGATGCACAACTCCCTCAATGTCAAAAAACCTGTCAACATGACTTTGACACTCATGAATATCAGCCATCTTGAACATTGCAAGACACACACTACATGCACATGAACAAATAGCTCTAGGGCGATGACTAATCACAGCAGGATGATAGTTACGAAGCACGCAACTAGGGAGTACAACTTAACCAACATTGCTATGACGTAGAGTTTGTGCACTATTTCAAAAGTTCTGACACACGTATAGATTTGGTGGTGGGCAGTGGGAGCGGAGGTGCAGTCTTTGCATGAACTGAAGAGTGAGGCTGAGGTGAAGAGGTGAGTGGAAGGTTTTCCTTTTTTTGAGACCTGGATATCATGAAGGGGGATCAGGAACAGTGTTTAGGACAGGAGATGCTGGAAGTGCTTTTAGCTACCATGTGTTGTGACTAAGAGAAAATATTTTAGTATCAGATTATTGTATTCTGTGATTTTACCTTGCAGTCTGGTAGATCATTCCTCACTCAATATTCCTCTGAATGCTGCTAATATTCTACAAAACTGCGTGGTGTCCCATCCGAGAAGACAAACTTGTCACTGCCATGTGAGACTCAGATCTCATACATTTTAGTGCTACAGTAAGAAACTAACTGCTGGGTTCACTGACCGATTTTGGCTGCCTTTGAAGACGATTCCTCCATAAAAATTCTGTCAACTTTTCATAATTCCCCCATTCAAACTCTGCATCCATCTCACTGTAACCTCCTAGATTTCACGACCATAAGAGTACTACGTGACTTGTGTAAGTCACAGAGTTACTTATCAAGTAATATGCTTCATTCTCTCTATAGTCTTGTGGGATGTGACACCATGTTGTCTGATAGACAGGGACAAATATTTTGAAGGAACATACTGCCTCCATCTTGAGGGTTGATATTGGTACCCATCTACATGGTGTCATATGCCAGAAGTTCATAACCTTAATTACCACTTCTGTGAGAACGTCAAATGTCATATCCACTCCCAACAGGCTCAAGTCATGTGCATGACATACATGTACAAAGATTGTGCCAGCTGTTCATATGGAGTTATACCAGCTTTTTATGTCACTTTCAATTCACCCCGTTTATATTCTGCACTTTGCAGCAGCATCATCGCATTGAAGAGTTTCATCTTTTGGGATATCATGCCATGTATTCCACTGAAAGTCAACAGATTTTCTGGAAGAACATCTCGTCACCTTTTTCAGGGCTGAAGAAGAATACAGCATGAAGCAGGCAGCAAGCAAAGCAAACGTCTGTTGACTTTCAAGAGAATATAGTGTTTCATCCAAGACGACCGAGTTCTTCATAACCACTAAATCCTAAAGGCATTGCATTGTTATGGCTCCCAGTGCACAGTGGGAACCAAAACAGCCATACAATGGACGTTCCTGTTTTTAATTGCATTATCTGGGTTCCTCAATCATGATTTATTTTAATGGGAAAACCATCCTCCCACCAAATTTTTAAGCTTGTGGCTGAGAAATATGATGATAAATAGTAAAGAGACACAGAAACATGCCTATGCCAGACAGGGTTCTAACCCAGAACTCAAGGTGTGCTCAGCTCTAATACCAGCACATTTGTGTCAAATGGTAAGATGACTGATAATCAATGAACTGGAAAGGATATGGCCTAATGAGGTACTATCTCAATATTTTCCAAGATGGACCAAGGAAAACCAAGAGAAATCTCAGTCAGGATAGACAGTGTCACCATTGAGATTTGAACTGAGCACCTCCACAACACAAATATACACCATTACTGCTGCATTGAATATCATGGTGAATAAAGTGACAGCCATTACCTGCCTAAACTTGTAGCTCTCAGCTCCGGCCGGTTTGGGGTCATGATAGACGAAGGACCCCCTAACAGAATGATATGGTCCACTATATACATTACCACTATACGTGCTTTCACTGTATGGGGGTTTGGACAGCTGGAAAGTGGCATAGGGACAGATGTCCTCGATGTAGTCTGCAACACAGGCATTTGTCATGATAACAACACTGGAATACATACAGATCTCTTCTTACATATGTCATTTATCTGTTATTATAAAAACTGATCTGAGGGTTGACAATGAACAAATCAGATAGTGATGACTTTCTGAACTTGTGGAGATGACATAATAAACTTATTTCCATGTTTCTTCTGGGGGTGATTCTTGTGGCAGAAATGAGAACCACAATATTGTAACATAGGTAAAGCTGCAAAATGTAACACATCTTGTTGTCTGAATGTTGGAGTGTTCTATGTCCAAATTTGGGCAGCCATGAAATAACAGTATTCGAATTCTCTGTATTGTACTGCAGCAGCTCCACATCCTTCCATTTATTCCACTTCCAACCGAGATTTTAGGATGTTTTGTTTTAACTCACATTTACACTGCAGTTCAAACTCACTTCAAACCAAGTTTCACAAAAACTGGTGTTGATGGACACAGAACATGCTAATACTCAAGTGACTATCTTTTAAATAGAATCATGTAATGGGAAACAAATGACACCCAAACCTGAAAAATTATAGTATATATACTCTTTTGAACTTTATTCACTGTCCTGTTTCTTTATACAAAGACCTTAACAATTCAAGACTGAGTGCTACTGCTACCTTCAGGCAGAATGCAATATGGAGAAATTCCTATTTTGTCCCGACAACAACGTTTAAAAAAGAAATTAGGATGATGGATAATGTACAGAAAATCAGGCATTGAACTTCAGCAAAACTGTGTGTTCAGGTTACTGAATCTTTTTTCAGTCATTTATTTGTATGACTGTACTTTATCTTCATATTATTCCTGCATCTTGAAGGCATGATTACCTGCAGAATCAGTTTTGTAGCTGGCAGAGTCAATGCTAAGTGCCTGCTGTCCACTGCCAACTCTCACTGCCAGGTACTGCTGATCCCTGTTCTGTTGGTTTTGCATCTGAGCCACTGACGGTGACTCTCCCATGTGAGCTTCCTGGCTTTGTGACTCTGTGGGCATATGCCATATAAGCAGAATTCAACTTTTCTAGCATGACATTGTTGCTGAAACTAGGAACACTTGAAGACAGACTCACTCACTCACTCACTCACTGAACAGTTCATCATTTGATACAGGACATTCATGAGCAATTGATGATGCAGCTTCCTGCTAACCAGTCAGATCCAACCAGTGCTGAAGTTAAGAATGTGTGGAGCTATAACTTTACTTTCCCACATTGACTGAGTTCAGATACAAAAAGTGGATGCCTTTCAAGAAGTTTTCATGCCAGACTCATGTATAAATTCAAAAATTAAAACAGCAAATTCTTATGAAGCATTCATAGGGTTTTCACGTAACAGAATAAAGTGTCCTTTGTTAGCATTTCTGAGCCTTTTTAGTTAGTTGATTTACCCTTTGGTTGCAAAGCAAAACTTTGCAACCTTTACAGTGCTGACTTAATTTTTATCCCATATTACATATTGCCATTATAAATACATATGAAAAGGTACTCTCATGGTCCAATATATGAGTATGTGACTGTATCTGTAGGGTCTGGTATATCTCAAAGGGGGCAGCCTGACAAGCAGACAACTCTGTCCACATGTGACCTCTATGACTAATGCAGTGACACACAGTTTTATTTATTCTGTGCAGAGAAAAGTAGCATATAAAAGAAGTTATCAAGACACTTTTAAGCCTTTCTGACCTTTGTTTGATAATGAACGAGATATTTCTCAAGCACTCCCCTTCACTCAGAATCTGCTCTCCCAGGCAGTTCATCACATAAATCAAGAGCTCAACATGACATCATTATAATATGATGTTTGAGTAACAAAATATATATCTGTACCCCAGATACAAACACAGTTCTAATTCCAATTTTGGTATGGTATATACCTGTAAATTACAGCACTGAAATTAGCACCAGTCACAACCCTTATTTTGAGTGTAGCTCCACATGACTTACAATTGTATGTGACCATAAGATACAGAAATATCGAAATTTAGTGGTCTGCGGTGAGTGTACGTACTTTTCCGGCGTATGAACACTGCAACACCCAGCAGTCCGAGCAGGAATCCCAGTGACACGATGACTGGGACAATAACCTTGATGTTGGCATAGAAAGGCACTTCTCGAGAGTGCGAGACCGGTGGAGAGAGTTCTGGGATCACAGTCACTGAAACACACATAAAGTACAATGGTCTCAACTCAAACTGAAAAGTAGTAACTGCTGCTAGGGTTGCAGCCCCCCCCCCCACCTTTTATTCCATGAGTGCTCGTATTTCAAAGCAGGTAGACAGGGCAGAAGAGGCATAAACCCTCTGAAACCTCAAGCTCATCTAAATAATGTGCCTGCCTCTCATGAAAACACTCTGAATCTCCGTTACAAAGACCAGCTGCTTAATGTAGTCCAATGTAATAATCCCTTTTATTTCTGAGAATCATATAAAAAATATACATATACTCTGTGGGCAAAATGCAGACTTTATGAGTGTTGAAGCAGATGGTACATATAGTAACCTCTATGATTTAAGGAGTTAATTAATTAACTACATAATTCAGTGTTACCTTAGCAGCTAACAGTCGTTCAGCTGGCTTAGAAACTCCCCGGTTTTATTGAGGATAAAGATTCATCATCATGCCCACAAAATTCCATTGTTGGATACGTATGTACAACGTATGCAGTAACAGGAGCAAAACACAACACAGAACACGATACACAAATGTATGTAGGAAGAATGCTCACATAAAAGAGGATTGGCGTAATTTGCATGTTTGAGTGCGACATAGGATGAATCCTGAAAAGTTTTATTATTTAGAATTCATCGACATATATGACGAATACAGATTTTAGTCATTTTAGAATGAAGACATCATGGCATGCAGTACAATAGTTTAACGTGCATAAAGACACCTGAGGATGGCACATTAGTGCTGAAACATGTAGTGTGGAAGTGAAGAATAAGGTGAAAAAGTGTATACACTGTAGGATGGCTAGCATAAACCATGGACATGAATCAGTGTAACAGGATGCTAAAATATAACATGAATCCAGTCCACAGCCTCCCTGCTAGGTTGAGTGTAACCTTCTTCCACTAGATGCCACACAAACCTAGTGACTCATTTTTTAATATGCCTACTATCCAACTGCTAACATCAGAATAATTGGAGATTTAAATTTCGTACTCCTTGACAATAAAGGTGTCCCAAATGGTATCTTCCCTTAAGGTTTTCTGAATAAAATTTTGTATGACTTTCCACCTTCTCCTTGCACAACCCTTACAGAAACAAGAGTAGGGATTATTCTACCACGAGAGATGTGTGCAGGCAGAAAAAGTAAATATTTCATAAAGCTGTGCAGAAGGAAGCTGAAGGTGTGTGATCTTTGTAAAATCTGCACCAAGCATGAGACATGTACCAACAACACGCACCTCCTTCGGCCGTGAGAGTTGTGAAGTTGTAGACCGCCACTGTGGAGCCTGCATTGTTGTGAGCAGTAACTCGAAGTTGGTACTTTGTAGCAGGAACAAGATCCAGAATGTTGTATACTCTCTCTGTTGGCTGAACATTGTTGGATATAAGTGTCCAGTCAGTGGAACGTTGAGCATTGCAGTACTCGATGATGAAGTATAGTATTGCACAGCCACCATCCACCCAGGAGTCAAGCCAGATTGTAAGTACAGTCGAATTGACAGTGATCATCTGCGACTGCTTTGGCTTCACTGGCACTGTGAATTAGATCAGTAAGAGTAGAGACTTCTGATTTTTATCTCATGTTGTCTTGTCAGTTCTGATAATAGCAATAATAAATATTGTTACATGTGGACCCATTGCCAAGTAACAGTTGTGTAAACAGGTGACCGCACAACAGTCATTGCTAGGGAACAGCTCTGTGGGCACATTATTTCCTTGGCAATGAGTGAACATGTATGGTCCATGCCAGGTTTATATAATAAGGACTGGTAGTTCAGCTGAGTGAGTTGAGAGTTGCTGTTGTGAGACATGATAAGCTGGTAGCTGAGGGTGGGGAAAGTTTGGGAACCAAGTGGAAGGGGATTGTCCATCACTGGAAGTCGCTACCAAGCAACGGCTTGTGAAGACAGAGAAGATTTCATGTGTGCTGTAGTTACAGTAATCTTTGGAGTGTGACTCAGTGAGACTGTTGTAGCTATTTTTAGTTATGAGTGTAAGTGTCCAATAAGTCTGATTACCAATCCAAACCCATCTATAGTCACCCTATCATGTAACAATATATTTGTGACAAATTGAAGAAATCATCTACAGAATATGCTATTATTGTCTCTTTTAATATCTACCCCAACATAAAATTTTGTGAAAATCCATTCCATGGTCCTTCAGTTGTTTCATGCATATAGACAAAGCAATTTTAGTGTGGTCTAGAGGAATGTGAATACATGCAAAGATATTGCTGTTCTGTCAGTTTCTGTATGTGTTCAGCTTCCTAGCATGGCCCTAACATGGAACATCCAAAGACATCGTGAAATTCACTCGTCACACTTGTCAATAAGTACAGTAGCCACAGTTGCTTAAAGCAATGTGGAAGTACTGGGGTAGCAATTTTAGATGCAATTTGAATCCTTAATCCCAATGTTCTTTTACTTATATGAGCAAACCTTAACTGATCTTTCTTTTAAAATACAGTTTACAATTTACCCTGAAGATATGGATCCACTGACATACCCGTTCCCTTTGTGTATGTGTTGATGATGTCGCAAGGAAGCCCGGTCCCAATCTTGTTGAAGGCTGTGATGTACAGCTGATAACGTGTGCCACACCACAGATTGTGCAACGTATGTGAGTTGGCTTTTGCTTCAATCTGCATTTCTTCCCAGTCACCATGGTCTCTCTTGTAGTTGATAACATACCCTGAGTGGACACACGTGTATTAGAGAAGGTTCCTCTATACATAAGCACTGTTCCATGCAGGAAAACCAGATGCAATAGGAAGAGCTCTCAGCTTCACATGTAGCAGCTTGACCTCCACAGAAATGCACAAGAATAATGTCTTCATACTCAGGAGGTCCCAGGTTGAAATTTCAGTGTGAAGAATGGCCACCCTGACTAATGTGTCTCCAGATTTCTTCTTTCCATTCAGGAAAATGCTAGGATAGTATCTTACAATTTTGCCATGACCACTTCCTTCTCAATATCATTAGTCATAGATCATCCTGTCATCAGATGCTGTACAGTCTGCACTATAGACAGTGTCACTACAAAATCATAAATGAATGAAACAAACGAGGCGATGGACATAGGAGGTATAAATGAAAAGTCTTGCCTAGCTTATTCACCAAGTGGGGACGCAGTGCTAAGGCTCAAGTTATCCAGTATTATAGAGATACAAATCAATAATACAGAATTAAGCTGGCTCAGGACTGGGTTTCATTCCAGAAGGTTAGCAACAAATTCCATACTGTTTACAATTCTTCTTTTTTAAAGTCTTTTGCAGTTTATTCACACTGCTGTCAGTAGCTTCACTATACAGTGTCCAACGGTAGCATGACTGATGAACTGGAAAGAATTTGGAATGAAGTGATCCAGGCATTGGCCTGGATGGACTGAGGAAAACCGCAAGAAAAGTCAGCCAGGACAGGTGGTGTTCTATGCGAGGTTTGAGCTGAGGACCTCCTGAATAAAAATCTGTCACCATTAGACCATTCTGCTTAGTATACGCAGTGTTGCCTGAAAGATGAAAGATGCTTTTCCAACTGCATAGCATTCAATGTCGCAAAGTTAACACAAATGAGAGAATAGTATCAAACGGGATGCTGGAGAGACCTCACAGGAGCATCAGGTGTTGGTGATAATGATGATTCAGAACCACTGGTTTTCATTTCCACACCATATGAATGACTGACACAATCTTGATTTATGAAGTCATTGAAAGAAAAGCGACATACAGAGAGTTCCGTGTCTGAACTCCAATGGAACCACAGCACCAGATCCACTCAAACTTACCAAGGACTGGACTCCCCCCATCATGGTTGTTAGTCCACTGCAACTGCAGGCTGTCCACATATGAAGCCACAACAGACAGTGTGGGAGCATCAGGAGGCACTATAACATACACAAATAGTCACAACTTTGTTTGAGTGGGAAGTGATGAAACATACCAACATTATAGAGCACCACATTCGGTGTACAGGAAGTGGGAAGTGAAGAAGGCAGATTTCTCCAGAACATTGGTACCGCTGCCTATCTATCTAACTAGATGCTGTGACATCTTAATATTCACCATCATGCAAGCCTCAAATGTCACACAGTGTAACATACCTCGTACTCTGATGCTGTACACTATCTCGTCACTCCCGTGCACATTCTCAACAGTGCATGAGTAGTTGCCTTCATCACTGTGTTGAATGTCCTTAATCAAGAAGGAGCCATCCTTATTTATCTGAAAAATAGGTATTATCTTGTAGAGTTTGAGGTTCTCACAGTGGTGGTTGGAAAGAGTTCTGTCTCCTGCAATACAATGCTGTGCAGTCCACTGAAAGTCAACTGATGTTTCAGACAAATATATTGCTTCCATCTTCAGGGTTGAAGAATAAGCCAAGTTAGAAACCAGCATGCAGCAGGAAGCAAGCAGAGCTTATCCTTCAACTCTGGAGATGAAGACAGCGTGTTCCTCTGAAATTCTGGTTGAATTTCAATGGGCTACATGTTGTTACATGTCAGAAAATATAACTACAGATGTCATCTTTGTTTTAGGACATGTGTTGCAGACTTGTACAGGAGTTCCTACTTAAATTTTAACATATTTAAACACACACGCAGTCACAGGAGCAAGACATAACAAAAGCACAACACACTCAAGACAGTGAAGGAGTGCTCCAACAGAGGAGAATGAGCGTGACTGGCGTAGTGAGGGGCGACATAGCGATGTGGTATCCTGAACAATTTTAATATTTTTAACGTTTGACAATGTATATGATAGATACATATTTTGATTATTTTAATATGAGAACAAGGCATGCAATGAAATGGTTTGGCGTGGATAAGTAAGCACCTGAAGATGGCATTGTTATGCCGAAACATGTAGTGCGAGGGAGATAAGGAGATAAATGAGTGTATGCACTGCAAGACGGTTTAAATAAATCATGGATATTTAAAAGGGTTACATCCTGATTTCCAGAGGCACATACCTCTGCCACAACATGTTGTTGTGGTTTTTTGCGGCCTCCAGGAAAGAAACATCCGCATTCTTTGCTACAGTACTCAAATTCTCTCCTAGAAAACTCACAAAAACCAATCACATTAAAGAAAAGTTGCGATCATGGATATGAAATGAACTTGTACCTGTTTCCTTCCATTGGTCTCCATTATTCTGTCCTGCAGACGCCATACAGCCTGAGGGACAGGGATGCCAACTTTTCTGCAGGGGAGAGTTATGTCCTTCTTCCAAGGGGTGACAATTTCTCTGCTGAAAGAGACGATTCTCGCAGGTACTGGAACAGCAGAAGGACTTGTTATGAAGATGTTCTGTAACTGATAGAAGGCTGTAAAATATCTGTAAGCAACATGTATGGATATGAAGACAAGGCTCCATGCATTCATAACCTCAGCTCTAGTTGGAGGTGAGAGGTCGCCTACATTAGCTAGGGTCAGAGAGCCTTTCTGGTCATGCTGACTGACAGAAACCTAAATGCCATGATACGGAGGCCACGGTAGTAAGTCCGAAGGACAGTGGTCAGATGATGCTCAATGCTTCTCCCTCTATGTCTACTCCTGTATTTCCACCCACCCCCCCATCTCCTCCAGCATGTATCAACTGAAGTGCCTGCCATGATCACGGTTATCATTACCAGTATTTCTGTGAACAAAACAGCTTGAGCAAGATGTGGACGGGGCTGATCCATGAGACTTATTTTCATGGCTCCAGTACTGTGGGGACTGAGCCAGTATCTTACTTTTGTAACTGACCATACTGAATAAAGACCATCTTATAAAATGCAGTGTTTTAAATGCTGAGACTAATATTGTGAAAATATTGTCACGTGTTGGGTATGTGACATGCGACAAATAACTTCACGCCGTCTTGGATGTAGTGAATTTATTGAACACTCGTTCTCACACTCACACAATTCACAATTACAATTACTGCCATCAGCAGTATCACAATTACTTCCACTGCTCTCGGCGACTGCTAGACTTCTGCTGCACTCCGCGACTTCACACTCCACACTGTCACTCCTAATCACACACTCTCTGGCCACATACTGTTCAGCCGGCTTTTTATACCGTTCCCTGTTGCTTGTGTCAACAGTGGTGTCCCGTGTTATTTCACAGTGGAAGTGCTGTTACATCACCGTGGGGGGGGGGAGTGTTGACTGGCCTGTTACTGTAGCAGCGGCAGCGCTCCGATGCTGTTATGTCACCGCTGGGGGGGAGGGGGGGTCCTGCATAGCGCAAATACGTCACAATATATTGGGATCATAAAAGGCAAATGGAATTCCTCCAAACTACTACTACTACTACTACTACTACTACTACTAGTAGTAGTAGTATTAGTTCGTCTGTGACTGATAACTGTCTTGCTGATGGAAGATTTTGCCTCCTCAGCTGTGAACTGCACTTGGGCTTTCCTTCCATCCTTCAACTAACTGTCTCATAGCAGAACCCAAAGGTTCAGCACAGCTAATATCAAATCTTGATGACATGATTATAAACCAGTTAAAACTACCTGTATCCTCACCATCCATTTCCCTAAGATCATAATGATTGTCAGTATCATCATTATTTCCTGGATTAGATGAATTGCCTGTTCTGGCCTCTAATATTCTTACATCTCCTCCCATCATCATTAATTTTGTATTTACATAAGGTGTATTTCAATATTATCTTCCTATGTCTTTACCAGTCTTCCAAATAACTGTTTACAAAAGAGTTTCATCACAAAAAATTTGTGTACATTCCTCATATTCCCTTGTGACGTAAACTCGCATCACACTGCTTCACCTGGATCATGCCAATGAATCTGTCCTGTTCCAAGATCCATGTGAAATGTCACAGGGAAGAGTTGTTAGCCCTATGCCCAGCTTGCAAGTGTCTGCATATGACTGCAGCTACCCTGCATCCAGCCAAGTGGCCTGTCAGTTACCCTTATTGGAAGAGGTGATAGTGACAACCCTTGTGCCTGCTCCCTCGCCAACTTTCGTGGATGCTGTGACCCAGAACTGGTATGTGGCGCCTTCCTGGAGACGCAATGTCTCATACACCTCACTTTGAGGGCCCAGAATTCTCTTGTGGGTCCCATCCTGTAACAATTGATAGAATGACACTACATTTTATACAGAATGTCCATAAAATTCACATCTAACTTAGAAAAATAATAGTAGCTTTAATTTTCTTCTCACAGGACACAACTGATAATGAACGTACAACAATCTGGAACACTATGATGTAAGGGAAAAATCTGAGAAGAATTTTGAAGAAAATTTCACAAGCTTGAATTTATGAACAGATCAATTTATTTTTTTTTTGGCATGTAACAAAAAACAGACTATATGCATACTCTGTATTGACAATGAGCCAGCATCAACTAACTGCAGAGCTCTTTCTGTGTGCTATTCATGTGGCAGCCAGTCACCTTTTGTTCTCTGTATATGGAGAACATACAATGGTGAGCTCACAACCATTATTCTGTTCATTCATCTCTTGAATCACTTGATACACTTGAATAAATTGTCTGTGTATGCTGGTTCACTTTAACCCCAACTTTACATGAACCTATGAATGAAACTTCATAAAATTTCTAAAAATATGTTCATGGTATGAAAAATTGGTATGTGACATAAAATGTGGAACAAGTTTCAATTGAAGGACATTCACCTCTATCCCTTAGGTGTTCCACTGGGTTTCTTATCCTTAGGTTTCCCACCAAAATTCTGTGCGCATTTCTCATGCAGTGTAATCTGCCTTTGTTAAAAATTTGCTTTAAATGAACATACAGTATTGATAACCCTTCCCGTCCCAACCGTGAATATTCCGTTTCAAGTTTGTTATTCTTTCATTTATAATGACACTGCATAAACCATCTTATGTAAGATTTCAATGTTGGAATTTTTTATTTGTTCAAAGCATGTACATTAAAGAGTCAGTAAAATTTCCAGATAAAACTGAGAGAATAAGAAAATGGTGGTTTAGGTACTCCAGCCTGGGTGTTACATCAGAGCTCGATAACTGGGGGTTGAAAGTGTTCACGCCAAAGCTGTAATGGGGCAAGGTTGGTCCAGAGCAGTGCTCTGATGCATTTTTAAGTGCCAGGGCCACTTCTTTAAAGATGCAGATGTGAAACTTAAAGGTCTTATAGCCTGATAAATTTCAGACCTCTGCGATGGAAGCTTCAGATACTTTTACTTATGCATGTTTCATGAGCTGCCTGTTATTCAGTTCTGCACGTAGATGTCTGTAGCTAACATTAGGCAATGAGAAAGTCTTCATGTTTTGATTTATACTGATTTTTTCAACGTGGAAGTGTGCCAGACCACCTTGGTACTGTGCCATGTAATCTGCTGCTAGGCAACATCATCAAAATAAGAAACAATACAACGATCATTATTAGATAGCAGCCATGCTGAGATGTTATAAGCAGGACAAGTTAGTGGAGTGAATGAGTTGGATGGTGAGTTAGTGAGTCAGTTAGATAGCTGCTGGGGTTCAGCTGTTGTGAGAAGCTGGTAGGTGAGGCTGAAGACAATTCAGGAGTAGGAAGTGGAATATCTGTCACTGGAAGCCGCTACCAAGCAATGACTAATGACAACTGTGAAGACCTAATGTGAAGTGTGTAGAACAGTGAGAGCACAGTCCTTACATGTAATTATGCATTGTACTGAAGAGTCCAATAAAGCTTATCACCAATCCAAACCCCGTCTATAGTCACTACACACCTGGTTAATGTGTCTATGTGATTCATGTGCATGTACAGGCTACAAACCTCCTTGCCATCTTCGATGATGCCCATGTAGAATGTGTGAGCGGTGATCTGTCCGTTTGGATGCAGGGGTGGTAGCCAAGAAACAAGGATTATATTGGCGGAGCTGATGACAGCTTTGATGTCAGCAGGAGCTGAAGGCACTGTTTTGAAAATTAAGACATTTCAGTGAAGTGTGTATGTACTGCAGAATACATAAATGTCAACCCAACACAAAACTCTGTAACTATACACCACAAATGCCACTGTGCATTTGTATAACAAGAGGTATGTTAAAAATGAAAAGTTTCCAAAGGTAATATATTTATAGCTAAACACAGTAACACAGTGGGCATACAGAATGTACAACCTCTTTGAAAATTTTAATCTCTGAGTTTTTCACAGCGGCTAAGATTCATATCATGCTCTATTTATTATGGCACAATGAAGTGATCACCACATTCTTCCATACTTCATGTTAAAAGCTACTGAACCACATTAAATCCAAAAACTAATTGGAAAACATTTTTATACGTTCAGAAGTTGAAAAACTGTTGTGGGACAAATCTTAAGATTCTGTAAAATCAGGAACCTGTTCTCAAGGGCTACAGTGGGGCCACATCTACTTGTTTCAACTGGCAGAACGTGACAGAAACTTGTTTCAGTCTACATTTAACAGCAAGAGACTCATACTGCAACACAGTATAATATCTATTCTGCATGCAACAGGTTGCATTACAACACAACATACATATATTGGTGATACATGCCATCCTCCTCAGTGCAGCAAACAGTAGGGGGGCTCCTCACACCATCCCCAACAGATGTGAAAGCCAACACCGATATGCTGTAATTTGTGTACTTTCGTAGGCTTGGGATCGTGGTTTTCAGGGATGTTGTCACTTTTGTTTCTTGCTCATCTTTTTCTGAAATCATTTGAGCATTACACACCGTTGGTTACACATAATTTATGATGGGCAGAGTGGAACCACACAGGAAGCAACAATCACATATGAAACAAAACCTTCATTGTGTACTCTTATGCCCTGTCATACAATGCAGCTTTAATGATTCTATTGATTCCCTGAAGATTTCTCCAAATGACACCCTGCCTGCCCTTATGGCTATATGTAAAAGGCAGCAGGTCCCTGCTGTTGCAGTCATATCTTGCTTTTTTATTTCCTTTGGTGTATATCACTAAATAAAATCCATTCTTTGATCACAGAGAGAGTACTGAAGAACATTAGGCTGCCATCTGTTGATTACAAGACTAAATACTGACACCGTCTATAAACAGCAGTCACAGGATTCTGATGTTGTGACATCTGCTATGGATAGGACGGTGGCCATCAAGGCTTATGTACTTCTGCCTAATGGTGATTTCTCCTCCAGTGCAAAGTGCTAGGCACTAGCGCTGGTTATCATGTGACTGTCAGTAACAACATTCAGGTGAACAGCATGGCTTGACAAGTGGAGGGCATACAGCAGGATATCAGAGAGAGAACTACTCATGGCTCAAGGGAGATGTGGAGGGGGTAAATCCATGGGGCCTCAGCAGTATAAGTACCAAGTCATCTTTCCACTGACAATGTAAAATATGCTTGTCCAGACAAGCAGATGATTACTTGCAACAATTTATGTTGCAGTGTGAAAACTGACCCGTTTTGGATAGCAGGTGACATCAATTTAAAATTTGGGGGTGAAACTCTTTTGATCTGGTGGTAATCAAAATATATATAAATGCAAATTTCATGTTCCCCAAGTCTGACTGAGTAGAGAATATTCAATGATATTACAAAATTTACCACGTGCTATTACCAATATGAATGTTAGCCACAGCTGTTAAAGCAATATGCAAGTATAGAATTTTTTAGGTGTGATTTAAATCTGCATTCTCAATATTTTTTCTTAAATATCTCAGCAAACTTTTATTTCTTAATATGAACGTTATTCCTTCTTTAAATTTTTAGCTAACATATGCTATGACATAGGTAAGGAAACGAGACATATCCTGATGTTTCTTCTGCTCTGTAATAAATTAATCTTCTTAAAGTTTAGGGAACAAAAGGTTCAGTTTAGCAAACACAACACTGCTGTCCTGTTGCATAGATTCGGGTATTATGGTGAGAATGTTTCATAACACAGCAGCTAAAGGCAGAGTTACACATCTCGCTTGCCTGGACAGGTGCAAACAGTGTGTCAATTTTACAGCAGGGAGCAGGCTTGTGGGATGACAAGCTTGAAGCCATAAAATTACCCACCATACCATTCTTCAGCGGGCTGATGAGACACCTTGTAACCCACGACAACTCCGTTGCGGCCTTCAAGTGGAGGTGGCTCCCATGACACCTGAAGGCTCTGTGACGTCAATGCGGAGCACTGCACATTTTCGGGTGGGAGACTTGGCACTAAATAATACAAAGACAATTAGAAGGCTCTGAGTCTCATCTGTTCTGGTAAGCAATTGGCAATGTCAATAATTAAGATTACCGTCTGTTGCGATGTGATGCCATGCAGGCTGATTGATAGGTACCGAAGCTTTGCAGGAAATTAATGCCTCCACCCCTAGGGTACATTTACTCTGAAGATGGTGGCAGGATGCAGTAAAATGCTGGTGTCCATATATCATCCCAGGACACTGCACTCTTAGTGTTCAGCACATAATGACCAAAATCCTCAGCAACACTGACACTCCTACATTGCAGTAAGTCTGAAGTTTCTTTTAGTTTCCTTGGAGTGGGATGAGACTGAGTCCATTTGGTACGTCAGCCACTATTTGGCATATTGTACCAACCCAGGATGACAGGTGAGTATGGGGCATTTGGTGGAATGAGAACTGGCAGGGGAAACCAAAGTACGCAGATGAAACCTGACCCAGTGCCACTTTGTCTGCCACAAATCCCACTTGACCTTACCTGGGTTCAAACCCGGGCTGCCACAATGGGAAGCCAGTGACCAACTGCCTGAGATATGTTATGGCCCCAAGTCTGAAGTAACTTCTAGGTCTGCAGATTTGGATATGCTATAGGACCTATTTGTTTCAAAATGGAAAAGGAGAAATCTTTTCTTTAATCTATTTTCCTAGTTATGTCTCTCTGTCTGCTGCCTGCAACATCTTCTAAACAAAGAGATGGGTGTTCATAAAACATGATGTGAACACTGTAACTCAGACAATATTCCACCTTGGTGATATGGTTTCTGTTTTCTTACTATGCAAATTATGAATTCATTTGTCAACAGGTCTAGGCTTGTAACATTTTCTTTCAAACCCTTCTCTGATTTTAGGAGTTCAACTTTCTGGAATGTTACACAGTGTAGTCTGGTATGTTGGGCCCTGGAGACCAAAAAGTAAATTCACCAAAAACATCAGTAACCTTCTATCAGGCTACATGATGTCAGATCCCAGAAGACTGGACTTAGAATGTCAAATCTAATATCTTCCCTGATTTTTCCTTTAGATTTGAAGTGATATTGTGCTGAAAATTCTTGTACATTCAGTACCAATGTTACCGTGCAAAATATTTTTCCTTTAAATCAGGAAGTGATTTTATGAACACACTATACTAAATTTCTATCAATAAATCTAGCATGGCATACACATAAACTTAGGAGAACTTACAATGAGTGTACCAAACAAGGTCTGAAAGGTCATCAAGAGCAAATACAATCATTACTTCTATGTAACATGGTCTTCCTTGAGAATATTTCAGTCAGCAGGCAGAAAAATAAAGGACACTAACACAAAGACCAGCCTCTGTGGCTGTTTTTGTGTTTTGCCTCTGGGCGTGGTCACTGCTGAACCTTCCGGCCTCTGCCAACTTATGGAATCATTTTATTTCTGGGGCTGTGGTTCCTGTAGGGCAGATAGGGTGATAATGAGAGAAAGGGTTGGCAGAGGGGGAGAGTCTAGTGTCCTGCCCCATAACTATGAATCATAACGTTAGGGTTTGTATACAAACAGAACTTGCACTAACCATCCTCTTGAGTGCGGGCAGTGATGTGCTCTGAAGATGGACCAGCACCACGACTATTGTATGCTTGGACCATGATGGAGTATGTGGTGTATTTAGCCAGGCCCTGGAGTAAAACCTCGCCCCCATATTGGGCCCCCACTTCGACAGTCTTGAAATTATAGTTGTGTGTTGTTGTGGAAGGGGACGATGATACTGTTGTGAGTGATGACTGCTCTTGGTACCCAACATAGTAGCCAAGCAGGTTCCCATTCCAGAATTCCCTCTCTGGGGGCTCCCATGACACAAACAGTTCTGTAGAACTTCTTGCTTCTGCACGAATATCTGTTGGTGCTCCACTTGGAACTGCAATAAGAACCAGCGAATATTCAGGTTCTGAATCAGTAAGAAATATCAAAAAATGATGAAAGATTTTGATCTGGATGTTGCAAGTTCACTGAAACCCCAATCAAAATTAAACTGTGTGACTGTCAGCATGACATTGTAGATAAGCTTTTACGGAGAAATGGCAACACTTACGTTCCCACACATGTAACAAAGACATGAACTGAAGCTATCAAAATGACTGTAGCTTCAGCACTTCACTTCCAACTCAACTAACACAATTATTAGGATTCTCACTTTAAATACAGTTCATTGTTCTTAAAAAAGATTTTCTGCTCTTCTATTTTAAGCACATCCCCAGTCAAACATTTTAAAAATCATTAACCACTCTCTTGCAATGTATAATTTCCACTATGACAATATTAAAAAAGAAAATAAAAGTACCATACATTATAGCCCAATATGAGAATTACATCAGAAGTCAAAGACACATGCTTTTGAAATAGAGGAGGAGGAGGAGAACAACAACAACAACAACAAAAGCTTTCCTCTTCATTTCTTACTATATTAACTGTGCAGCTTATACTGGATAAGATGGGGAATGTTAGGGTAATTATGACAAACAGAACTGCCCACTCTTCCCCTGGGACATGGTTGTTTTCCCTGTCATTATCAGAATAAATACATGCTAAAATGTTAAAGGTGGGGTAACATTCAAATTAAAAAACTGAAGTTTACTTGTGTATTAAGAAACATATTCAGAATGAGGATTCAAGTCAAATCGAAACCCATACCACAGTATATCCCTATTACTTTAACAACCATGGCTACTATAGATACTGGAGAGGGCGCAGTGTAATTTTCATAATATTTTTGTGTGTTCTCTGTGGGGCCTGCAGCAGGAAACAGGAGTGTTATTATATGAGTACATAAAAGACATATGAGAATATTTGGGAAGAGTCAGGAATTGTCAAAGGTTTCTCTGCAGAGAGTGAAGCAAAATATTTTATTCCTTGTAAACAAGAAACTGTGGCGCCTTGAACTGCAGAGTTTCTGCTCACCTTCCTCCTGAGTTGTGACCTGAATCACCTCACTGGGGTCACTCAGCCCCAATCTGTTCTCCGCCATGATGCGCAGATGGTATGAACATGCAGGGTTCAAATTTTGCACTGTAGCTGTGGTCTGCGTTCCTGGAACTGTCAGCTTCAGTGGCTGGGCCTGCCAAACATCTGCAGACACAGAGAGTTCTCACTTATATTCAAACACAACTAACTCCATGGGGCAAAGTCCTGTTTGGCAATTTGATCCTTGCTCAGCTGCTCATTTCCCAGCCTCAGATAAAACCTGAAGATTTGTCATTGTGCTAACAAAAGCCATTATGGAATAATAACCTAGGGCGGTGAAACCAGTTGAGCTCAATTACCCTACTCTCAAAGTCACCTTCGTTACTGCTCTGCTATACTGTTTCGTACTTGGTGTTTCATTTGATCTATCTTAGGATATTATAATGGGTACATATATATAACTTTCTCAGGTAATCTAGTATGCTCCAAAATGTTTTTAGGCAGTTGTTGAGAAGAAGACAGCATTTGTTAAAAATTCTGTGTGAGAAATAGTTTTGTATGTACATAAGAAAATCAAGCTTGTTGAGTGATAGCATGTCATATATAATACTAAGAGGTCATTGGTGTGATATCATCGTTCTGAATGTTCATGCCCCAACATAAGATAAAATTGATGACATAAAGGATAGGTTCTGCAAAGAACTAGAACATGTATTTCATAAATTCCCTAAATACCATATGAAAATTGTTTTAGGAGATTTTAATGCCAAAGTAGGTAGGGAAGACATTTTCAAACCAAAGACTGGGAATGAGAGTTTACATGAAATTAGTAACGATAATGGAGTTTGAGAAGTAAACTCTGCCACATCCAAGAATCTTACTGTTAAAAGTACTATGTTCCCACATTGTAACACTCATAAATTTATTTGGACATCTCCTCCTGGGAAGACACACAACTAAACTGGCCATATTTTGAGATAGTAGACAGAGGGAATATCTGAAAGACAAAACTGATGAGCTTGCAATGAACAGTAAGAACAAGAACATTAGAGACCCACACAGAGGAATAACTAACTTCAAGATGGGTCACCAACCCAGAAGTAACTTAGTGAAGGATGAGAATGATGACTTGCTTGCAGATTCCCACAACATTTTGAAAAGGTGGAAGAACTACTTCTCTCAGTTATTGAATGTACATAGGGTCAGTGATGTTAGGCAGGTAGAAATATATAAAGTTAAAACATTAGTACCTGATCCTAGCCCTTTCAAGGTTAAGTCCATATATAGACGAAATTATTGGGGATCATCAGGGTTGGTTTTCACATAACTGATAAACTACTGCTGAGATCTTTTGAATTTGTCAGATACTGAAGAAAAAATGGGAGTACAATGAGACACTACATCAGCTATTCACAGACTTGAGCCTATGATTCAGTTAGGAGGGAAGTGTTGTACAATATTCTGAGAGTTTAGGGTACTCATGAAACTAGTTAGGCCGATTAAAATGTGTTTAAACGAAATGTATAGTAATGACCGTGTAGGTAAACATTTGTCTGATAAATTTCCTATCCACAATGGTCTAAAACAAGGGGATGCTTTATTGCCACTCCTTTTCAGCTTTGCTTTAGGATATGCCATTAGGAAGGTCCACGGAAACCAGGTGGTACTGAAATTAAATGGGACACATCAGCTGTTGGCCTATGCTGATGTGAATCTACTGGGTGATAATGTAGATACCATAAAGAAAACCACACAGACTTTAATTGACGCAAATAAAGATGTTGGTCTAGAAGTAAACACAGAGAAAACTAAGTATATGTTGCTGTCTCATCACCAAAATGCAGGGCAAAATCATGACATAAAGATAGGAAACAGATCTTTTGAAAATGTGGCACACTTCAGATATTTGGGAACAACGATAACAGATCGAAACCTGATTCAGGAGGAAATTAAGAGGAGACTGAACTTGGGTAATGCCTGTTACCATTCAGTCCAGAACCTTTACTCTTCTCATCTTCTGCTAAAAAACATAAAAATTAGAATATACAAAACTGTGGTTCTGTGTGGGTGTGAAACTTGGTCTCTGACATTAAGGGAGGAACACAGACTGAGGGTGTTTGAGAACAGGGTGTTGAGAATATTTGGACCGAAGAGAGATGAAGTTACAGGAGGTTGGAGAAAACTGCATAATGAGAAGCTTCATAAATTGTACTCTTCTCCAAGTATAATTAGAACGATGAAGTCATGGAGGATGAGATAGGCAGGACATATAGCATGAATGGGGGTGGAGAGGAATGCATATAGGATGTTGGTCGGAAAGCCAGATTGAAAGAGACCAGTGGGAAGACCAAGGTGCATGTGGGTGGACAATATTAAAATGGATCTTAGAGAGATAGGATTGGATGGTATGGCTTAGATTGATCTGGTTCAGGATAGAGACCAGTGGAGAGATCTTGTGAATTCTGTAATGAACCTTTGGGCTCCGTAAAATACTGGGAAGTTTTTAAGTAGCTGTACAATTGGCAGCTTCACAGCAAGGGTTCAGCTCCATATGTGAGTGAGAAATATTCACTGCGTCTCCAGCGACTGTCTTCATGACAAGAGTACATCATGATTGTTTGATGACTGCATCATATCAGATATAGAGTTAAGAAATTTTAAAGTATCAGGAGCAGCAGATAAAAATACACTTACTCAGAGTGCTTCTATGTGCTGACTGCCCAGGTTATTTGTATGTCTCAGAGATGACGGAAAGTGGGTGTGGGTGCTGAGACTAACTAAACAACACCGTAAGGTGAGTCCCTCTTCAGAAGCCACTAGCTGTTCAGCTACTTAAGAAATTCCCAGGAATTCACTGAACTTGATGGCCTATTACTGTATTCACAAGAGCACACCACTGGGCCCTGTCCTGAGCCAGATGAACCCATCTGACACTCTCCCATCCTATTTCTTTATAATTCAATTTATTATTATCCTCCCATCTGTGTCTAGGTCCATCTAGTGGCGTCTTTCCTTCAGGTTTTCCTATGGGAGACTGGTAAAGGAAATTCAAGGTATACATATTAAACCTTGCTCCTACCATGTTATGTATCGCTGTCCCAGGAAAACTGATGTTTATGATGGGTTGTGTTCAACGAAAGTGCTCGTATTATTACATGAGCCTGCTCAAACCATATGACAAAGGCATACCATACCTGATACTAATTTATACTGAATGATATAGTTTGTGATGGCACTGTTGCCAGCATAAGGCTGTGTCCATGACAGCTGAAGTGAGCGGCTCTGCTGATCATTTACACGGATATTTTTTGGCATTTCTGGAACCTCTGCAACATCAAAACATTAGATACATCTTGAGGAAGTGCTAAGTGAAAGACAAGCTGGGATACAATTAGAAACATTTTTTTTTAATTAAACAATTCAAATGGGCTCACACAGTGGTATTTAAGATTACTGAATTTCTGGGCTTTGTTCATCATCTATACTCTGAACAGATCACAGCATTTCTGAACTGGACCTGTTTCTGTCTTCAGGTAGGCTATTGGGGAGGCAGATATTTGGTTGGATTTGCTGACTCAGTAATTAAACTTAGCTCCTTCTAGTAGATACAACTGAGTAGATGTCCCCCAGTTCTTCCTCCGAGGACGGAAGCAGATCCAGTTCTGTGAATGTTGTCTTACATTCAGAAAACTAAGACAATGGACAAAACCTAGAAACCCAGCAATTGAACCGTCTGAAGACGATTCAAAGGGTTCGCCCCGTGAAAGGCGTCGTGGAATAGCAGTCAACCACAGCCAATGCTCATATATTTCTTGTAATGTTCTTTTTAAAGATGTCACGTGACCCTCCCCCTCTTTTTTCCTTCCTCCTCCTCTTGTCGTGGCAAGATGACACGAACGATCGCTCTCTTTCCCTGGGTGGCGGTCGTGCAGGGTGGTTGTCCCTGCTCTTAGAAATTTCTGTTTGGTTTCCTTTTTTTTTCAAAATTAAATTTATTTTTGGAAGTCAGCGCGGTGTGTCCCGGGAGAGGGCCCCTTTGCTGAGCTATGGAGCAATGGCGAGGCAAAGGTGTTTTTTATAAATATATACGTATGGGTACCCTGTGACTACGTATACACATGTGAGTATTATTGTTTTTTTTCTTTTCTTGTTTGGTGAAATTAAATGGGCGGTGCCCCATGAGAAAGGTACTGGCTTGAATGACCGGAGTGGGTCATGCTAGGTTTCTTGTAATATCGTTTCTTGTATTCATATCATATGTTTTATTTCCTTTATTATTGTTAATGTATATTTATTTCGTTATTATATTATTGTATTGTTAAACTCAGTCAGCATTGCTCTCGAATTGTGCGTGTATTTCCCACAACAACAACAAGTGAATGAACTCCTCCCCCTTTCCCTCTCCTGAAATTTCGGACTGGTTACAGTCCGGGTAAATAACGGTTCACAATACAAAGAAGCTGGAGTTAAAAATCCATTAATAGAAGAAGAAACATGATTACAGTAATTTGGCCATATAATAAGAACACACAGAACAAGCATACTCAGGAGGAGATTAACAAATGCACATCACAACTATGCATTTCCTGGCATAAATATTCAGGTGATGTTTCACTCAGTCCATATCAGTTGTCCACCAGAACACAAGTGACTGGATAGGGGCTGAAAAACTGACATTCAGTTTCTACAAGGGACAGCAATTCTTCTTTCACCACCAAACCCAGAGCAGCTAATAGATGAAACACGGCATTGTACTCAAAATTCATTTGACACAATAATCTTACGAGCCTTACCCTGAACAATTAGCTGAATAACCATCTCGTCCTGCCCATAAGCATTGCTGGCATAACAGGAAAGAACCCCAGTATCATGCCGATATGTGCGTGATATCGCCAGTTCTGACACCATCCCATCATCCAGCAGCTGCTCCCGGATTGTGTACCTGGCAAAAGGATTCTTCTGTCAATTAACATCACATGCACAAGTGACTACTACAACAAACCTCACATGAATGAAGTATGTTCTGCACACTAACCTTCATATGACTAGAACTTTGCTCAGCTAGTCAAGAAATTCCTTAGGAAGGCAATTACTGGCCACTTTCTTGATTCACACATGTACACCTTACTTCCATAATGATCCTTTTAATATTACCCTCCCATCAATACCCAGATCTTCCAAGAGGCAACCTTCCTCCAGGGTTTCCATGCACAACTTTGTATAGACCACTTTAATACATCCATGTGTGCTACATGCCCTGTCCATCCCACCCTCCATAGTATGGTCCTGTAGCTCCTCATTAAGCAATTTTCTTTAGTCCATGATAAATTGATAAATTTCTTGATCATTGTTTAATGTGTATTATAAGTATTATAAGTTTACCTCATTTAATTGCAATATTACTGTATTATTGTATAGATACTATGTATTCTAACTTGACTTGTTCCATATCCTATGGTGTCTCACCTGTACTGGATTTACGGAAGGTAAATAAATTCAATTCAATTCAATTTCCACCTATATGTTAATTCATCACTTTTATGCCCATATATTCCACTCAGAATACTGTTCTCAACTACCACCATTAATCTATGGGAGCGGGACCAACCCACACTTGTCGTGACCTGTTTAAGATGCTTGAAATATTGCCAATTCCCTGTGTATATTTGCTTTCACTTATGACATATGCTGTGAACAACTATGATAAGGTTTTGAAAAATAACTAAACATACGATTGGCACTAGGAATAATGATCATCTTCATGTACCTGAGTTCTCATTTATCATCTTATCAGAGAGGTGTATATTACTCAGGTATCAAGCTATTTAATGTATTACCTAACAGAATCACAATTTTGAGAACAGACAAAAATCAATTTAGGAAGGCTTCACTAATATATCTGCCGAGAAATTCTTTTTACTCTATCGATGAATTTATAGAACATACAAGAGTTACAAAGATAGAGGGTAAATAAATAGTATGAGTAAACATATTGTAAGTTACTCCCTTTGGTTGGATTTAATAGTGTCTGTACTGATTAATTTAACACTTGACAATTCTAGTCAGTTAAGGCTGAGAATGGACTCAACATGTACGTGTTTTTCTAAATGGGAAAATTAGACTGACAACTTGTGCTCTTTGCATGAGGCTCTATTTACCTTATATGTATTTTAATATATTATATCTTAAATTTTATGTTATATTTAATATTGTATATTTATATTTATTGCATGTTATCTTTTATGTAAGACTTTCTATGTGACAAATTTTATATCCAGCCCTACTGGGTAACAACTGGATCTATGAAATGTAATTACAAATAAATAAATAAACTCACTCATGTGGAGAGCATTACTTTCACACCCTTACAAAACTTATTAGCCTTCTATGCACTTAGAACCTGCCTAAAATATCTCTGTGGGTATGTCACACCTGCAGTAGGTACTCTCGTGGGAGAAAAATCCTGGGTGTTTGATGAGAACTCTGGATTGGTGATTTTGGTTCCCACTATATGGTGAAAACAGAATCCAGTAAGTTTCTCATGACAACACAATGACCTACTGTCAGAGATATTCTAAACACAATATAAGAAATTGAGAAGAAGCTGCACCTCTGGTCCACGTCCCCGCCTATTCGCTTTCCCCCAACCTTCCACATGATCTCGATAGGTGTGTCCCCCAGGGCTGTGCACTGCACATGTGCCTGCTCCCCTTTCTGTACTTGCATTTGCTTCACTTTCTGGGGGAAGTATGCGGGGGCTGAAACCAAGAAGACATCATGATTCCAATGCAATCATTCACTTAAGATTATGTTACTAATAAAATTTCCATTGCATGTTATGCATTAAGAAATATAAAATATACTGTACCTTTAAATACGTTAAAGGTTATTTATTTTGCTCATACACACTCTATCATAAGTTATGGTATAATTTTTCTGCGTGGCTCTTCTTGTGTTAACAAAGTTTTTATATTGCAGAAGAAAGTTATTAGAATTATAACGAATTCTAGACCAAGAGAGTCTTGTACGGACATTTTTAAGAATTTGGAAATAACGATGTTCTACTCTCAGTACATATATTCATTACTTTTATACACAATTAATAATAAATATTTATTTAATTTTAACAATGAGATTCACAAATACAAATCTAGAGCCCTCAATAATTTATATTTACCTGCAGTTAACCTAACAAAATACAATAAAGGTGCGTACATAGCAGGTATCAAAGTTTTTAATCATCTTCCTCAAACAATAAAAATGTTGGCAACTGAGGTGAGAAGTTTTAAATCTGCATTGAAGAGGTTTTTATATCATCATTCTTTTTATTCCATGAATGAATTTTATCAACATAATTGGTCATAAATGTGTAAATTTGTAATGTATTTCATTCAGTTAATATAGGTAATTTAAATAAAATTGTATTAATTCAAGTTTTATAGTAAGCTACTTTTAAATTAATTTTTTACTTTATATTATTATTTATGTTAATCGATTAATGTAAGTGGTTTTGATTATGTGACTCATGTAATTTTGTATATGTATCTTGATATATCTATTTTCAAAGTGACCATTTCCACATCCTAGGTTTGTTACCTGTATGGATATATGGAAAATAAGGGGAAGAATGAATGAATGATTGAATGAATGAACAGACCAGAGCTTCATTTAAGAGATGTGAGGTTATGAGACTTCAGGTTCTCACAGCTGTGACTGACAGTTAAGGTATTTTTGGATGAAGCACCATAGCACATACCATAGGAATCCACTGCCTTCATATGTGAGGATATTGTTCCACCCTGAATATGGAGGTTTATCTCTTCATCATTTCTATATAGGAGAACCATTAACAGCATGGACAAAGCCACTCTTCCTGCACACAGCTTCCATAACTCCACACATGCCACACGCTGCAGAGGACTGACTGTGACTACACTGATGCACTCTGGTCACCAGCAGATCCAAGAAATTGCTTACCATTGACCTTAAGGAAGATGACTTTGCTAACCCCTGTTCCAACTTCATTCTTGGCTTCACAGAGATAATAGCCTTCACTGTCTTTACTGATATGCAGAAATTCTAATGACCCATTGCGGTAAAAATTTACATTTGGCTCATACAGGAACTCTTTATATTCTCCTGGGTGTGTACCTGGAAAAAGACATGAAATGATGATGAGTGTACATTGTAACAGCTGTGAATATCATTATTCATTTTTCAGTGTAATGACAAGGCAGTTATTAACTACAGAATGGAAGCTTTCTTGCTGGCTACAGAGATAACATTTTCTTGGGTGGCTAGCTGTGTCAATTTGGAGAAGTCCCATGTTTCAGAGACCTCTGACTTAATTTGCTGATGATGGAGACTGAGAAGTTTTCTGAAATGTTGGCCAACTGCTTGAAAGTGATGTGACTGGAGACCGAACACTTTATTAGCTATGAAGTAACTGACTCCATGGTGCAGAGTCCATCATGATAGGCTAACAACCTCTCACCTCAGAAGGCAGCATATCAGGATATATTATGCAGGGGCTTGGGCTTATACAGACTTCTTGGCATGACCTGTACAATGAACGTAATGAAGAGAGGGCATTAGTTTTGGAATTGTAACATCAGGATTCACTAGTACTTTGAAACTTCTTTGAGGGTATGTCACTTCTTGATAAGGCAACCTTATGCAAGGAAGTCCTGTGAATAGAGTACATGGAGTATGGTGATTTTGGTTCCAATCTTATGATGGACCAAAGAGGGATGAAGTGACAGGAGGTTGGAGAAAATTACATAATGAGGAGCTTCATAAATTGTACACTTCTCCAAGTATAATTAGAATGATCAAGTCAAGGAGGATGAGATGGGCAGGGCATGTAGCATAAATGGGGATAGGAATGCATATAGGGTAGTGGTGGGAAAGCCAGATTGAAAGACAGCAGTGTGAATACAAAGGTGCATGTGGGTGGACAATATTAAAATAGATCTTAGAGAGATAGGATTGTATGGATTGGACTGATATGGTTCAGGATAGGGACCAGTGTAGGGCTTTGTGAACACAGTAATGGACCTTTGGGTTCCATAAAATGCTGGTAAGTTCTTGAGTAGCTCAAGAAGGGCTCAGTTCCATAAGTAATAGGTAGTGCTGATGAAAATAAATAAAAACATACCACTGAAGCAATTTCTTCCTCTCAGAAGCCAAAACCCAGGGTCTCCTTCATCCAGCTCAACCAATCTTGGCTATTTTGTTGCATGGTTTCAGACTCTCATGCTGCCCTCAACACAGTCTGAAAGTCCTGTTGCTCTAATCCCTCTTGCTCATAAATCCCATATGTATTTAAAATATGTACTCAATTGTGAACAGAATTTTTCATTTTTCAATTCAGATTATCTGACAACCAGGTTGACTGTAACTGGATTAGCGAAGGTTTACTGTACTTTGGAAATGATCTTTGATTGGCTGTTTAACAACCTCGCACCACTCGTAAACCAATCTATATAACCAGGAACCCAGTCGCATCTGACACAATATAACACGAGTCAATGTACCAACAGCTTTCCTCCAGGTGATACTGGGCACAGGATAGCCATCAGCTTGGCAGTGCAGCATCACATCTTGGCCTGATGCTACATTGGCATCTGCGGGTTCCACTGTCCAGCGTGGAGGAACTGTAACAGAATGTAATTCAGAAGTTCTGTGTGTGTGTGTGTCCCACCTTATATTCAGATCATGGTTCAAGTTAACTGAAAAACATTTCCCTGAACAATAGTTACAAGGCTATTCTTTTGGAGCTCAAAGGTTCGGTTTTATCTGTTGCCTTATATGTACACTATTTGATGCTTACATGTAACTGTTTTTATCTTAATTCCCTGACCTCCCACATCTACTATAAAACTGACAATCCATGACACTGTAACAACTTCACACCAGCCTACTCGCTGTCATCACTTGTCCCTTTCTTATAAACTCAGCCTTCATTCCAATTGCATTCATTGTAATTTTGCAAGCATTACTGATACCACTGTCAGCCTGCTACTGGGGTTGTCTGAATGGTGTGGCCATACAATAGCAACACTGATGGGATGTGTCATAACAAGGTTTTGGCAGACACTGTAAGATGTAAAGAAGAAAGGAAAGAGCTGGAAAGAAACTAAATGGAAAGATTATGGGAAGAAAGAAGAGACTGGAGACTTTTCATGCACTGACCTGTATAAAATACAAACGATATAATTATTATAGTAGCAGCAGATGAAGAAGGTGCATAGCATTTACTGTCTGACGTGTGTGGAGTTAACCCAAATGAGAGCAGAGAAATAAATGAATAAATTTATATGTTTGTCTATATGCCATGGACGAGAACAAGGGGATTTGTTGAGCCCTGCCTGTCATGGTAGCATACTCTAATCACTACATTCAAATCTGTATCTTAAAATATGTATTTCATTTCTGGGGGGCTGCACTGAATGTTTAGCAAAAGTTGTGTTGCACACAATAAGGTAATGCAAAGAAGAAACATGTAAGGAATTCTACAAGCACATTTATAAAGGAAATTTACCATTGACAGTAAGAGGCACAGTGAAGCTCTCCAGCCCAGCCACATTCTGAGCCACACACGTGTAGTTGCCACTGTGACTTGACGTAATTCGCTCAATGATCAGTGATGTTGAGTACTCGTCCAGGCGACGAGTTGAAGCTCCCAAGCTCTGTTCATTTAGTGGCTGTCCATTTCTTTCCCAACGAAATGTGACAGGAAGATCACCTTCCAGGATGTGGCATGAGATTACAGCTCGCATGCCCTCACGCAGCAAGTTCGTCATCGCTTGGATTGGAAGGATTTTGGGAGGTACTGGAACATGAACCATTGATGTCAGCAGAAGTCTGTTGATGTACTTTAAGATATGATTGTGAGTCTTTCTTCTTGCATCTAGAGAAAGCTATTGTTACTACTGTTCTTTGAACTGGTAGGCTGTAACTAACTGATGTGCTGTTAAGCTGAGGTGGAAGATAAATAATTCAAGGTGGATTATAAAAATACTTCTGAAAATTCAATATATATTCATTCAGTTTTGGTGGGAAATTGACTACAGAAAAAAATAAATACCAGCTGTTCCACACACACTATCTTAAGTGAAGATATCTGGGGTGGGAAATGAAGTTACAAGATGAGAAATTTTAGGATGCAATGGCCCGAACACATGAAAATGTTAAAAAAATTCGTGAAATCATCAAGGAAGATCGACGACGGACCATTGAAGAAATTGTGGAGCTGTCGGGAGTGACTTGGAGCTCAGTTCAGCGAATTTTGACAGAAGATTTGGGAATGAAAAGGGTGGCTGCGAAATTCGTGCCACGACTGCTGACTGCTGAACAAAAACAAGGTCACGTGGAAGCATGCTGTGCTTTGAAAGAAGAGTCCCGAAATGATCAAAACTTTTTTTCAGCGTTTTGCTGATGTTGCTGAGGTGAAGGAAAAAAACGACGGAGGCGCTGTCAAGCATCTCAAAAGATGAATTTAGACAATGTTTTGAAAAATGGAATAAAAGACTAGACAAGTGTATTAGGGTAAGTGGAGAGTACTTTGAAGGGGATTGAAGGTTTGTGCTTAAAATTTGAATAAATTAGTTAAAAAAAAAATAAGTTCGGTTTCTTTTGGGTACCCCCTCGTACTTCATTTGGAAAAAATTGCCTAAGTTGAGAAACACATTTTCTTCCAGTTAATACCTTGGAATGAGACACCTTCTGAAATCCAATTAGTCTGACATGCCAGTCAAGGTAGCCAAGCGGTCTAAGGCATGTACTGTTTCCATTTTCTTGGAAATTGGGATCATGGGTTCAAATCCCACACAAGGCATGGATGTCTGTTATGCATATGTGTTTATTCTGTGTTTGTGCTGTCTTGTGTTTAGGTAGTGGTCTTACTGTCTGTAAAATATTAATGAAACTGAAAAATCAGAGGCCAGGGCCCAAGGGGGCTGTAGAGCCATCAAAAAAATAGATTCATATTCCTGGGTCGCTTTCAATACTCACAAATTACTTGTTAATGTTTCATACTTTTCCATCTGAACCAGACAGATGCTGCTGGTTTCTTACTGTATGTCAGTAACAGTGCCACATTAGATGTTGCTTCAAATGAAGGTGATGAGTTATGCAGGATAAAGGACGGACCATTCATATCCTATGCAGTGCAAGGTAAGCATTTTGGAAAAACGAGAAGGGAGAGAATTATAAATACAATTTTTTGACAAGTAGCTGGAATCTAAATGTGTGAAGAGTTAGATTTTAAATTTCCCAAAGAAAAGGCATAAGGAAAACATGAGACCTAGAATTCCTGTTTCATCAATCTGGAGGTGTGAAGTCTGCAGAGAAAACACTGTGAATCTGTTCCTGCATAAGTGTCTTAAAATAAGTAAATGACAGAAAGGTTCTTTTTATCCTAAGTTGTAATAGCAGTCAGGGGTTAGTTTCAAAAGTATGGGCAATATTTAACACAATAGACCACTGTAGGTCGCGGTGCAAGGGCTGAGAAGGCCCAACCCTTATACATTCATTCATTCATGGGCAATATTTTGCTACAGCACACGGATAAATTTTGGCTTGGGCATACAGAGATTTCAACTGGCTGATATTAATCACCTATCACTTGGACTTCAACATCTCTGCGCGCAGTGTGCTTCTGCCGATTCTGTGCTTGGCACGTGTATGTCCCTGCATCTGCCTGGCGTTGAGCATGTTCTATAACTAAAGTTCCATTGGAGTAAACTCGCTGTCGACGATTCGTTGGCAGCACTGTGCCATCTGCAATAGAAAGTGGATTGGTAAGAGCTTCTGCTGATGCGTAGTCTAATAATGACAGAAACCAAAGGGCCTCCTTACCTCTTTCCCATGCGATGGACTCAATGGGATAGCCTGCCACTGGACACTTTATCACCAGGTCACTCCCAGCCACTGCAGTGATCTTTGGCATCACACGAATGTATGGCAAACCTGGAAGCAGGATGTGCTCCAGTCACTGTCATCATAAACAGAAATCCTTTGAAACCTGAAGTTCATCTATATACCATTCACAAATTCATTTCCTACAGGAAACAAAATGTGTCTCCATTACAGAGAACAGCCAGTTACTGCTGCTAAGGGAAATAATTGCTGTTTATTGTGAGAATCGTGCAGAACACATAAACCGTGTGTGCAAAATGCAGAGTTTTAATGTTGAAGCAGAGAGTATATACAGCAAGCACTGGTCTTTGTAGGGTTTACTCAGCACACCACATCTTAATCTTGTGTAGAAGATACCTTCAATGGAAGAGAGGCAGCCCATAAACAAAGATTTGCTGTACTCGTACATGTGAAGTTTCAGTACAGAACTCTTACATAAAATTTTAGGCACAATTTGTACAAAAATTTCAGGAGAGGACAGATATATTGAAGACATGCATGTTACTAAATTTTATGTTATATTAAACATGTGCTTCAAAATCACATTTGTGAAAGACAATTCTGTGTAATGTTGACAGTTCTGGCTAACATACTTTGCATTTCAGATTACTCAGTCTGTGGACTTCATCCATTGCCTTAGTGCTCCAAATGAAAAATATTTCAGGAAGCGAATCTGTTTCCATCCTTAAGTGTGAAGGTGGGGAGGAGTCTATGAATCAATTAGGAAGAGCTACATAAATCGCTGGGCTCATCTGAGTAAGTTCCTCCTTAAGTGGGAAAGTCACATTCTGATCAGAACACCAGATGGCAGACAAAAAATCCCAGTAATGCTGAATTTCATTTTATTTAAATCTTCAATGATGCAGACATATCTCTCTACCTAAGTGTGGTAGATCTCTCAGTAACATGGATGCTAGTCATGGTTGCTCTACCCCACACATGACAGTTATCTACAGCAACAGTGCCACCATATTTCATTACATTTTGGAGAATGACATCTTCACTGTAATAAAAACATTACAGTGTGTTGTCACAGCAGTGTGTCGCACAGGGAAATATATATGATCAACCATGGGTGCAGACAGTGCGAAAGCATGTTTCTTCCTCTGAACACTGATATATAGCACTTGATGCCAATTCAGCTTCATGCTCTGGTTCCCACCAGATAGAAGGCTGGGTAGATCCCAGAGCTAGTCTGGATGTTGTGGAGAAGAAAATATGCCCTGTCCTTGCCAGGAATTGAACCCAAGTTCCTCAGTTTTCCAGTCTGCAGGTTCCTGCTATAGTGACTAAGCTATCCTGGCTCTTATATTACCATATAGGAAATGAATAAACCCAACTAAAACAATATACTTTTAAAATAAGGGAATAATAATCAAACCAAAAAGAAATAAACAACAAATTGTAGGAAATTAACAAGGCAAACAATTAAAACATCAAATGAAATGTAACAACACAAACCCTGACTGTGGAAGGGTTGACACAGCATTTTACTGTTGTGTAAAAAAATTTTCCTGCAGTGACTGAAGGTATAGATAGAAGTGGGATATACGACACAGTGAAACAGATTTTGGCAAAAGAACACCTGATGATGGCCATATACGACCAAAACATGTTGTGAAATTGAGGTGAAGGAGAAAATAAATAAGCTGCATTGTGGACAGAGGTACAGTTTGTGAAGCTGAAGCTATGTTAGAGAGACATGGACCTTATGGCAGTTCCTTACCATAAACATTAATGCGAGCACTGTGTGAGACCTGTGACACAGAGTTGCGAGCGGTACACGTGTATTCCCCACCATCCTCTTCTTTTAGGTTCGAGATATTCACATGGCTAATAACATCGTCATGTATTGTCACATACTGACCCACAAGGAACCTGCATAACAAACAAATGAGCAATAAAATAGCAAAATCTGCAAGTCACAAGAAGAAAACAAGTGATTCAGAAAATAAATTATACAAGTAAACTTCTACATTCATAAATTACCTTGCGGGGGGGGGGGACAGTGTTCAGAAGTTTAAGAGAGATAAAATGATCTAGGAATGGAGAAATTTACTCAGCAAAGACGTTAAAATTTAATTTTCCTGTTGCTAAGGCAATAATAATTGGGGAGGGGGGTGTTGATGCAGTTTTGGTGGGAAAGACACAACAAAAGAAATTAATACACTTGTGACAGCCATAAGATATTCATATCATGAAAAGTTAAACAGTTCCGTCTAGTGTGACTGGTGAAGATTTTTCTTGAGACCATCATAAGAGGGACACCTTTACATCAATGCAGTTCATATTTTGATTTTCTGAGTTATGACATTGAGTAGTCTGGCATGAGTGTAACCCTGAAGATAGAGGCAGCATGTTCCTCCAAAATCTTGGTTCTCACCTACAAGATTATTCACTGTTATGACCCAGAAAAACTTGATGTGAACATGATTAAACTGATTATTTATTAATACAATCTTAATATATATACAGTAAAACTTGGTTATAGCAACATTGGTTTCTGCGACACCTTGTCTATTGCATCAAATATTCAATGGTACGAACTAATTCCTCATAAAGCAACTGTTTTTATACCTTGCTTAGTACGACATGCACAAATGCATCAACCTCGTATGTAACGTCATTTTCATTCCTGAATTTCTCTGATATCGTGGGAAAGTTTGATGTGTCTGCCCACCCTCACTTTCTCTACTTGCTGACGTGACTGTCCTGGAAGAATACGACCGCGGGCTGCAAGAGGTGCATGGGTTTTATTCAAAAACAAGGGTGTGGGGTGGGACTGCGTGAATAGTGCAAGAGGACGCGGCAGGTTGTTAACTGCATTCCTTTCCTAGAATCTCGTCTAACAGGACCTCACATTGTCTACTTACCCTATAGTGTTCCTGCCTAAACCCAGAGAAGTGCAGTAGCGAAAACATGGCAATGAAAAGGAAAGTTTTAAGCATTGAAGAGAAAGTTAAAGTGATTCATGAAATATTGTATGTATTGTCAGTGAAAAGTGCTGCAATATGTCTTTGATATTACACATTTGGGCAATTCCACATTAATGTTACGTTAGTCTGTACTTAACAACGTATTTCACTAAAAAATGCAACATTTTAACTCGGTTTTTGGTAGATTTTTACGTGACTAACATAAGGCTACTGTGGAAGTGCCCATTTCAGTTACAACGATATTCATTTATAATTCAATTCAATTCAATTCAATTCAACGACACTATTTTTAGGTCCCTTTGATGATGTTATAACCAAGTTATACTGTATATATATATTTCTAGTGCCCCCCCCCCAAAATCAGAGTCCAAAGGACGCTAAATCACACATCTTTTCTAAATTCATCACAGTGGTGCTATGAACAATTATTGCTTTATGCATTAAATGGCTGCAAAATACCAAAACAGCAGTGGACAGACTGCTTCATGCAGCATAAAAAACACTAAACACCTTGTTAGAAACCAGGTGAACATTCCTAACTACATATATACATTTCAGAAAACCAGTCAAGATGATTTAGCAACTAGTTCAGAGATAGAGAAATGGAAGAGATGAAATGATATTACAAAAAAGATGAATTATTAAGTACATATCTTTCATGTGTAGGAGATCTGAGGTTTATGTTAAGACTGCAGTCTGCTGAAATGTGATATTATGTAGTTTGATAGGTACTGACATTTCAGATGAACATACTGACCTCCATCTTCGGTGCAGACATCCCTGAAGAAGAGCATAGAAGTTTCCTCCGAAACACCAGTACTTATGTACCAAACTACACTGTGGCACATCCCACATCATATTCTTACCACTGATGAATGTCAAGAAAAGTTAAATGTGTTATATTATAGAAAAAGAAAGGAACACATGCACGCACACATTCATACAATATTACTTTGAATATCAGAGGCCCTAAAATTTAAGATGCATCCGGTCTTTTGATATGGGTTTTAGGAAAAAAAATTAGAAAGGTGCATATTCCTCGAATTTAAGATGAACCTCAAATTTCCAATGAGAAAACTATATAAAATGTGGATCTTATATTCTAAGTAATACAGACTATCAATTTGTTTGAATTTATTCAGAATAACAGACTTGTCTGCGGGTTGTTTTACAATGCTGTTGGTAGCTAGCCTAAAGAGTTGAATGGTAGGATAACTATCCCAGCATATGCACAGAGGGACTGAGAAAAACAGCAACAACAGAGAGGGAAAAACCACTCGCCAGGATAGTCAGCATCCTAGATGAATTTTGAACTGGGTACCTCTCAGAAATGAGTCTAGAGAATTACCACTCCTCAAACCATTCGGAATGTCAGGAATGGATAAGTAAAATGCAACAAGCTGTATACTATTGCACTTTTCACAGAATTCTTGGCACATCTCTGAGTCTGAAACAAACATACAAGGAAGCGGGCGTGCACACACACACACTTGCAGGAATTCAAGACCTCTGGAAGAAGTCTGTGCTGGTCATGACTCACCTAGTATTGTCAGGTACAGGAAAACCATCTAAGGTCCACACAAATTGTGGTGGGGGGTTGCCACTAGCAACACACTTCAGTGATATGGCAGGGCCTGGCTGCACAGTTTGCTCCGTAAACCAGTACAGCAGTTCTGGACTTGCATCTAAAACACAGCAAGAATCCTGTTCCCTCTTCTGATATTCTAATTATTAATGTTTCAGTCTTCAGCCGAATGATCTACTATTTTTCTCACCAGTGGTTCACCACTCAAACTGATTACCCTAAGTGTTTTCAGTCATTATTTGTACAAATGTATCTTAAATAAATCATGACTGCTTCCATCCGTAATTGTTACAATCACTATTTATATTAACCCTTCAACCCCACATTTTTAAAGCAATGAAATACCCTATAGACAGCAATTTTTAAACATGTGCACCTAACCCACTGCTATTTTCCTTGTTATTTTCTCAGTTTTGCCTCACATAGAGGTTAGACTTTAATGATGATGTGTAACATAAAAAATTACTATTATGTTGACCTCTGCCTACCCATCATCTTGAGTTCTTATTTGAGAAACTGGACAGAGGGAAAAGGTAACAGGCCCAAGTGAATAGGAATGCTTCCTCCCTAACACCTGATGATGAAAGTAGATCCAAATTCCAAAATGCTGAGTTTGGAAAACTCAAGATTTTGGACAATGTCCAACATAATAGTTATGATTGGTGGCATGAAGGTCTACCAGCTCCTTAACTTATATTCCTTGAATGCGTACAAAAAATCACCTGTTGAAAGTGCTTCTTATAACACATGTGTATTCAGGAAAGAAGAGAAAATTGTATGTGAAAACAAATATATTTGAGATTTGTACAGCAAAGGTTAATGAATTATCACCACAAAGCCTCTTCAGATGATAATATATAAGTGTGACACAAACTCTCTGTTATCAGGGATTTATACACTCAAGAGATAAAAAATGGGATCTTGAGCCCAGCCTTCACTGAGGCAGAAGAAATCCTGATGATGAAGAGGGACAGATTCTCAAGAAGCAGGTAGTTAGGTACCCAAGAAATAACAGAGGCATTATATGCAGCATTCAACTTCACATCTACTTGCTTTACCCCTAAGGAGAGAGTCATTGGTACCCACTGGATATGAGCATAGGCGGACCTCAGAGCCAGCATACGCACTATGGACATGAGCAACATCTCATGTCCATTCTCCAAATTGTGTCCTGATTTTTGTCATCCAGCCTGTAGCTTGTACTGATTGAGTTATCCCAGTTACGACTGACAAGACAATTAACAAAAAGCATTCAGTAAAGTTCTGTTCACAAGTTAATTAGAAAGCAAGCAAGTGTGCTTACCTCCAAGTTGTAGTTCAGCTGTGGCCTGTGTCATCTCCCATTCGTTGCTTACGAAACACTGGTACATCCCATGGTCCTCTTTCTGTAGTGGTCGAACTGTGAGTTTCTCAGGAGACGTGGTCATTTCAAACCGGCTGTCACGTACGATAGGTTTTGCGTTGCGATACCATGAAACACGGGCAATGGGATGTCCCCCAATGATACACTGGAACACTGCTTCTTTTCCCACATCTACAACCTGTGTCTGTGGTTGCACGTGAGCTGATAAAGGTGCTGCCAACACAATAAAGGATAAACTGTCTTCAAAGTGATAGAAATAACAAACAAACAATGTTTGGTCACCATGTACACATCCCTGCATAAGAGTCCAGTACATTCAATCTGGGATATGTATGTTCAAACACTCTCAACCTTTCAACTTGTACAACTGCCTGCTCATGACACACACACACAAAAAAAAGGAAAAAGGCTTATGTTGTGAAACAAGTACCCATTTCCTGCCTAGAATATGATTGTTTTTCAAATAAATATTAGAAAATACAGACCCTAAACCATTACAGAAGGAATAAAAAGTAAGTAAGTAAAGGTATCCCTGTAACAGGCCGCGGGGAACCACAGGGTTGTGAGATGTTGAGGTTCCCACATTTTCTAGACAATCGGCTCATAGATGGCGGCAAGGTTGTCAGCCTTACGCACTGACCGCCCTTTACCCCCCAAGAATATTACAAGAATATTCCTGGTACTCATTTCTGTTAGAGGCTGAGTTGACCCCAGGGCAATAGTGTGGCTGGAAGGATAGAAGGAATAACATTAATAAATTTAAAATTAACTGATGTAACTAAAAGAAGAAAAAGAAATATACACTGCTTGCATCTTCACTTTTATCCTTAAGAGAGAGGAAGTATCACCCCCCCAAAACATGTGTACCCACTCACCAGATCATACAGTTCCATAATCCAGAATATCACAATATAAATATTCACCACTGCAATGACCTCAAATATTACAAACTCACTTACTGATACATATTTAAACTGCTTTATCTAAGAAAAAACTGAAAAGAAATGACATACCTGTTACTGTGAGAGTGACCTGTACTGTCTCTTCACCTGCAGAGTTGTTGACCCAGCAGAGATACTTCCCCATGTCCTCTAGTCGTACCTTGCTGATGCGCAGAAGTCCAGCAGCCAGTACTGACACCCTCTCCCCCCCACTGATGGGTGACAGTTGCTCTCTGTCTTCCCGGAACCATCTGCCACATAGCAACACATTCCCCATAAACACACTTCCAGTAAGAAAGAAGAAAATCATTTAATTCTGCACATAAAAGTTATTGAAAGCAGGGAGCTGGCTGTAGCTGCAGTACTGCACAAACTGAATTGGGGTGAAGTGAATCATGCATCAAGTAGAACAGAAATTTTGATAAAATTCAAGCATTAGAAACAACATTTTTTTAAGTGTCTAGGGATAAACTGTATTATACAGAATTGAAATTAAGATATATACATATGGAATCAAAGATGTATTTTGTACATAAAGGACTAGAACAAATTATTAATGTATGGAGCATAAATTTAGTCATGAACCAAGGCATCAAATTAATGGCAGCACAGTCAAGCATTTTTACGAAATGTAAGAAAAACCAGGAGAGAGAGAGAGAGAATAGGTAATAAATGACTAAGAGAGAATTTAAAGGGAAGATAAATTAAGAGCAGAACAAGAAGGTATGGGCATATGCATAAGAATGAATAATGAGAGAATACCAAAGAAAGTTTTGAACATGAAACTAAAGGGAAAATGCAAAAAAGAGGCCAAGATATAAATGGGAACTAAAGGTTAGGACAGATGTCATACAGAAAGAAGAACATGGGTGGATATTCAGCATGGATGACAGAGACAGATGGGGATGGAAATGCCTAAGGAAGCAAAAGAAGAAGAAAAACAAATGACTACAGAAAAATTTTTAATCCATTTAAGCAGATTACAAAAACTAGATCTTCAGTACAAGCCAAATGTATATGATGATGCAGGATGATTCAGAAGATGGTTATGGAGTTGGAACAGGCATGAACATAATCTGTAGACTGGCAGAAGAAGTGGACTTATAATACAGAAAGAATGGATATATTTAGGATGTACCCATATAATTGTTGAGGAAAGGGAGGTACTGAAAGATCCCAGCAAAGATGGGCGGAATTCAGAAAAGAGTAGAGAGATTAATTTGGAAGTACAGAAAAATAATATACTGGAATTCCTTGCCAGATGTCTAAAGTCTGAAACAATGGTTCCAGTGTGAATTGTTCTTAGCACCCACATCTCACAAAAAGCAGCCATAGCACCGTAAACTTCTTCTAAATATTCTGGACATATTTATTTTTTCATAGAACCAAAATTATTTGTTTAGTCCATCAAAATATCCTCGACACATTAACAACAGGTGAACTGTGTAAGTCAGACCATTCCTTACTCTTCAGTATCCTATAACCACCACTTAAACTCTTAGGCCATACATTATTCTTGGCACTTTGTTTTTGTATTACAGAATATTCGTAAAGACTGCAAACATACAAAAATAAAATATAACTGTTCATAACAGCTTCCACAAAGCACTTTTCAATGCAGTGTCTTAAGTTAATATGAACACATATCAGCATAAGAATACTGTTCTTCAGTGCAACACAGTTTGCATATGTGTGTTCAGTGAGATGGTCTCTGATTGCAAGTTTGAGATTCAATGTAAGTCCACAAGAAGGAATCCAAAGGGTTAGGGTCCTGAGGTCTCAGAGCTCACTCCACAGAACCAGCCAGATTCCAAAAGTGACAAGGACAAAGAAGATCAAAGCTAATTAATAGACCCCATGCTACAGAATCCTTCAGAAGCTAGAAGTAATTTAGCTCTTCAGGAAATTTTCTGCAATCTATGGAACACAAATGTTCACCAACAACCTGCCACTGGTCCCTGTCCTAAGCCAAGTGAATGTAGTCTATAAATTCTTGCCATATACCTTTAAGATCCATTTCTATATTAATTCCCCACTTATACCAGGGTCTTTCAAATGGTTTTTCCTTTAAAGTTTCCTGACCAAAATCTTGTAGACATTTCTGATTACTCCCATGCATGCTGCACACCCCACCCAGCAAGAAGGTAAGTGAAAGAAAGAATGCTGTAATTTTCACTCATATGAGCTATAATAATCTACATGGAAAGTCACCTGAACTCATTTTTAAGTTCCACAGAAGTGACGTTAAGATGCATCTTCTCACCTGTAAGTCGGAACAGGAAAGCCCTGTGCGACACAGGGTAGTGTGATGTCATCCCCAGCCTTCACTTGCCTAGTCACGTGTTTTTCCACTGTTATTCTTGGCTGAACACTTCCTTTTGGCTCTGCAGAAAGCACATAGCTGACAGTTCAATAAGGTCCTGCATACAGTGAATTTATTTGTTCAACAAGCCATTATCATATTCAGTCAATACTTGTATACACAATCATCCACTTTTACATACAGACAAAAGCATTTTGATCCTGACAAGATCATACACAGTCCTGGATGCAGCCAGAAGAGAAGGGAAGGATGGACATCTTGCACTTCCTGGATCTTTGTAAAAAAGAATCAAACTTGAAAAAAAATATGGCAGTATCCATCATATCACATTGTTACGTGTCAGACACTAAAGATGGGGTTGGATTGGTAATTGGATTTACTGACCACTTAAAGGTCATAACTACAATTAATTATAACATTGTTACTGATTTACACAATTTAAAGTCACTCCGCACTAGATATGGGGGGGGGGGGTAGGAGGTTGAATAAGTGGCCAGCCTTCCTGCAGCATTGTGAATTTTCATCTTATTCTGGGCATGCTGTACTACTGCTATTATTTCTGTTGCTGCTTCTGCTATACTACTACTACTACTACTACTACTACTACTACTACTGTTGCTGCTGCTGCTGCTGCTAACATAGTTTGCCTAGTCTGATTTGTTATGAAGAGTATTATCTGCTGCGAAGAGCTGCCATGTGTATCGGTGGACATTCATTAATATTTTGGAGAGGCCTACATAGCATCACATCTCAGAAGGTAGTACTCATCATAATCATCACTGTGAATACTACAAATCAAACAGATATATTACAGTTAAGTTAAATTTTTACATGCTTGTGTCATTTCTGAAATGTCATATGAAAAGCAAATTTGTGAAAAAGATTTAAAAACGAAATAATTTGATTGTATGTAAATTAATCGCAATATTTATGAGACTTAAGACTCTGACAGTAGTGAACATACATCTCTTCAGGGGTCCAATATGTTTAGACAAGTTGGTTCCACTCATTGTATCTTTCAAAGCAGTGGATGCTATCTTATTAACAGCAAAACAAGGCTCAGATAACCTCAGATAACCAGCCACGGGATTGAGAATTGCCACTTCTCTACAGATAGATGCTACTTCGGAGAGAGCATTTTAATTGTTATTTACCAACGCCACTAGTCCTCTGGAAGTTATTTTTAGAGGTATTCCTGTGACCTCAGATGTGTCAAAAAGATTTTTTCCAAGGGAGTAAGTAAAAAGTAAAGGTATCCCAGCAACAGGCCATGGAGGCCCATAGGGTTGTGAGATGATGAGGCTCCCACATTTTCTTGACAATCGGCTCACAGATGGCAGTGAGGATGTCAGCCTTACGCGCCGGCTACCCTTTAATGCCAGTCATATTCCTGGTACTCAATTCTGTTAGAGGCTGAGTCTACTGCTTTCTACTATGGGGAGTTTTAATACAATTTGTAGATAAATTCCAGTGTTCATTAAAAAATCGGATAATGTAGTTAACAAGAGACACCTGAAACAAAGACTTAAATTCGTTTCTGGGGTGATTGCATGAGGTACACGCCTGAGTCACTAAATGGTTATTGAAGCAAAAAAATATCCAGGACAAATGTACTGTACAAAAATGGAAACCATATTTTATATCCAGTGCATTTCTTGTATAATTCTTACAGTCGCTGAATCAAGTACATAGGAGCTTAATTATCAGAATTATTACTTCATGCGAACTTATTCAGTAGAATTGTGACAGAGTTTACTTTTCTGATTTTATGGATAATTGTACTGTAATCAGATCAACCAAAAATTCTGTGTTCAGCAGATTAATTATTTCACTAACAGAATATAAAAATGCCCTACTTTGTGACCTATTACTCCTTTCCATGGTGTAACTAGAATAAATCAAGACGAAATTTTCGTGCTTCGTGGTGGCTCGGTTATTTCCGGCTCATTTCGGTTCTTTGCTTCCATAAAATCCAGCAAAATGCTTTCTGGCGAGAATAATGCCATATTAATTTCTAAAGTTTTCTTCTTTCATTGATGCTGTTTTCCAGCTCTGCAACAGACATACTCGAAAAACTAAAAGTGAATAGGTGCGATCCAGAAACATGCTGCAGTGGTTTGTCACGTGATCTACTCAGTGACTTTATTCCGAAGGCACTCTAAATGTCTATGCCATCTTCAACATTTTATCTACTTGCACTTGACTTTCTACAACGCCATAAATAAATGGTACAGAATCTGATTACATGTAATTTTTATTGAATTGCGCAGGAAGCAGATATTAAACATCCAATAATAATTGGTGAGTAAATTTTGCGAAATTACATTGAATTACGGGTGAAAGAATTATCTTTATGACCACGAATTATTTTAAAGGTATTCTTACTTTTAATGTACCAGGGTTTAAGGCGTCACTTTAGCCATTTTTGGCTTCTTCCATTTTGCACAGGTATTTACGTACAAAAATCGGCCATGATGGGCAACACGAAGCTTACAATTTGAGACGGGTACGAAATATTGTTCTTTATGTAAAATATTACCCGTTTCAAAACTTATTCATGTCTGAAAAGCGAAGAAATTGTATGGAAACATATATTTTTCTATTTTTTTTTTGTTTCGAAATGATGAATTAATAATCAGAATGCTTCTTCCTACTGTCAAGGTCATAGCCGCGCCAAAGAAGTCTCGTATCGTGTTAAAGTTAATAAAAATAAAAAACAATAAAGCTGATTTGCATATTTATAATTATGACGTCAATTTAATGGGAAGTAAAACACTGCCATAGAACAATGATAATTATGATTTGCATATTTATAATTATTACATCAATTTGAATGGGAGGTAAACCATTGCCATACATACGCGAGTTCAAACGTGTGTTCAGTAGTCAGGAGTAATAAAATATTTAAATAATTAAAAAGTATTTTTAAAAATAACCCTCATCGTGAATACAAAAGACTATACAAAAATGTTTTTACACTGCTTACACTTAACCTAAGAATTTTCTAACATCTACCCCCTTGGAAAAAATCCTGGCATCCCGTTTTTCCATTTTACTCATCTCAACACATTAAGTTTTCATTTTTAAGTCATGGAATTCAAGTGCTAATGCTTGTTTTGTTTTGGTTTGGTTTGTAAATTTGACTTACGTGAATTATCATTTATTCTGTGACTAAAATGAAGAGTTTAGGTAAAAATCATTGCTACTTTATACAGCAGTTGTTACAGAAATATTCTGTTTCAAATTTTACGCTCTAAGCCCTTCATACACCCATAAACACAAATGTATAAATTTATGACTCTATCTTTTTTAAATTTGAAATACAAATTAACAACACATACTAATATAAATAAATATGTATAAATCCTGGAATCCTAACACTAGTAGCAGTAGTTCCTGTCCTTACTTCCACAGACAATTACAGAGGTGAGCTGCCACACACAGTGAAAGTCTGCCCTGCGTTTGAACGTGAGACAACATGGGTACCAAGCCAGAAACCGGGATCATGAAATGTATGTCTTCTGTGGGTGGGCTTCCAAAACAATGTTTCTCAATCACTTCCTTAAAGATTGAACCAGTTTCTTTAACTACTGTCATGAATGTAGTTTATATCTTGTTCATGAAATTCACTGCATACATTATTTTATTTCGGAAGTAATAATGAGCTACCCAGTCCACTTATTCAGAGCCAGTATAATTTAATTTGACATTAGCCATGTTTCATGTTTAGTCCTATAATTGACTGACTATCCCGGTCCATACTAAGCTAAACTCCGCGATTTTAGTCCGCAAGCGAACTATACTGACCGAGCGACCGCCGCTTGTCGGCGAAGTTAGTGCCAGCTGCAGCAGATGGAGGGTGTGGCGCGATTAACAGAATAAGATGTTCATATGATGTGCTACAGAAGGCCGGATCGGCATTGCCCAGGCCTTTTTTTGTATTTACAATAATTTTTATACAAAAAAAAATCCCCACGGCCGTTAATTTCGGTTTTTTTAGACCGGAGCCGCCATTTCCTTGAAAGAGCTCCTCAGTTATCCCCACGAGGGTGAGTGGACTCCGTCCCAGACCCACTACTTCTCAGAATATCTGGTAGCGCCGAGAATCGAACCCAGATAGCTCTGGATCTGTAGCCAGAAACTCTGACCACAGAGGCTGTCCCTACTCAGTACTAAATTTAATTTAATTCTTTTCACCTGTTCTCTAGTTCTTTAGGACCAATGCAATATGGTTATTTTCCGACTTTTCATTGTGACGTACCAAAAGGCTTACATACAGTAATCAAATGAAAGACTTTGAATGACATTTCTGTCGCGTTAACAACGAAAAGTTCCAGTAATTCACCCGTTGGCATCGCCTTGCTTGTACATATTTGTGCGAGCGTCTACTCGCACTTTCAACTGGAAAACCGCAGAATAATATTACATTTTTATGTTGGAAGTTCTGCTACAATTTATGCATTAAATTCGGATATCGGCAGCGGGAACTTTACAGGAAGAATAAAAACGATTCTGCCCTGTGGTTAGATACTGTTTTACCTGTAATAATGATGCGGCCTGGGTATGTGCTGGAGTGTACTTCCCCTGTCAGCCGATGCACTGTCCTACAAGCATAGCTCTTGTAACCGTCGCTTGGTCCAGCGTTGTGTATGTAGAGATCGCCACTAGTCAGCACAGCGTACTTCCCACCTGCAAGCACCGAGCTTAGCTGGCAAAGTTCTTACGTTTCGCTCCTACACGAATGCTGATTGTTTGTTTCTTTTTTACTACTTGGAGTGGGTACGCAGGCCACTAGTGAGATAGTGAGGATGGTGAGCCTGGTATACCAGCCCCGAGTGATAATGAGAATGGAGCAGTTGGTGGAACGAGAACTGGCAGGGGAAAATGGAGTACTCCAAGAAAACTTGGCCTAGTGCCACTTCGTCCACCACAAGGCCTATACATTTTCAGTTCAGACTGCATTTTTTAAAAACTTAGTATATGGTAAGGAACTCGTGCAGCTGAGGAAGCATCATTAAATAATCAAATACCGGAACAGCCATAACCGCAATATACGAGGAATAGACCGTCCCTTTAGTGTGAGGCTTTTCTTATGTGAATAAATAGCTGAGCCCGCCCCCACTATAAGAATAACCAAAAAATAATATTTGGTAATTAAAACAACTAGTTACTAGAGAATTGAATGCCTATCTAATAAAAGCCTTTTCTATGAAGTCGTTGTTTTGTAAGTTAATATATATCCCCTACTACACAGAGCTGAACCCTTGAGAAGCCAACAGCTGTACAGTTCCCCCACCCCCGCTTAGGTCCAAATGTTCTCCTCAGCAGGCTATTCTCAAATAGCCTCAGAGGAAAAGCTAATGTCCCTGTGCTTAACTAATTAAGCACTATGCCATGAAGGCGTATGAGACAGTGGGTGTATAGATCCACATTTTCTTGACCTCGGTACTAGCTGTAGATGTATGGTCAGCTTCACGTGCCGGCTGCATTACCCCCAGGGAAATAGCCCCCGGTATCCATTGGATAGGAGGTTGGGTGGACCTCAGAGCTGGTCTGGATGATGTGGAGAAGAGAAAATTCTTGACCATACCGGGGCACGAACTCCAACCCCTTGGTCATCCTGCCCGTAGCCAGTCGCTACTCCCCCCTTGGCACTACACCCCCAATTTTGACCATGGCTTACCTTCATGAAACTCTCCGTTTCACTTCGGTTTAGTAGATATTAGACGTTCGGTAGGACACCTTTGGCAAGTAATCAGCTTGTCGCAAGTCCCCTACCTGTACACAGACACAGAAAAACGCACACACACAAACACTGAACGTACGTGCCCTGAGTTCGACTCGAACCCACAATCCCTGCTTCCGAGCGAGCAAAGACAATGCATGCCTTAGACTGCTCAGCTACTGTTGACAGAATCCGAAATGTTTTTGACATCTTCAGTCCAAATAATGCTTCACCTATAGCACCCTGCATATACAGAACATCTCAAATTGCAGCACAAAGACAAAAGAATTACTCACAGTGTAATAATGACCGTGAACTTTCAGGTGTTCATTAATAGCATTTCACAATGGGAATTAATATGACATTGTATCAGGACACACATTGAATGTTGAAAGAGGTCAGTACTGTGTTTCTTTCATCAGTCTGTCAGCAGGGAAATTGATGCTGGCCCTCACCATCAGTCATTCTTGTTTCTGAGTCATACCTTACTGTCTTATGGCTGTGGGAGTTTTCATGCTGCCTAATTGTTAAATCTCTCTCCAGAAATTTTAGGTTACTAAACAGCATTTTGTAGCATATTTAAAGACATTGGGATTTAGCAAGAAGAAGAATTACACACTTTATGAGTGTTCTTCATGAGATTTTATCGACCTCACTGTTCTTGTTGTTCATTTCTTGCAAACAAATTTGCTGCTCAAAGATAGTTATACTTCAGGTATGAAGTATAATTATTTCTGTAATTTAGATATATGGCAGCACAACATTAGACACAGGTGAGTGGTCTGATGCTCAGCACACTTGTCCAGGTTTGTCCCTGGGCCAGACTGGATCCAGTGGTGGCATCGAGCCTGTTGACTGTCACTGTGCTGACTGAGATGTCTCAGAGCCAGAAATTATTGTTTTCTGTATTTAATTATGAATTCACCATTAGAACGCGTATTAAAGTAAAAGTTATTGATTTTTATGTTATTATGTTACATGTTATGTGGAGATTTATTGCATCATGAACCTCTGATGAGAAAATTAACATTGATTTAGGTTCACAATATTATATTTAAGCATCCTGTTACACTCACACAATATATATGAGACAAATTTCGTCTTAAGTGCAACAATTTAATTGTAGTTTTTTCTTCTTCCCTTCCTCTATACTACATGTTTCGGCCCTAAATGGCCATCATCAGGTGTGTATTTTTACGTAGCTGCTACACTGCCCGTATTAAAGATAAGCAGCGACACACACACACACACACACACACAGAGCCTACACAGAACAGTACCTGAACAGCGATAAAACAAGAAGTGGCCGCTGCAGCACTATAGACATAGGGCGTGTACCCTGAGAAAATTTTTAAAAATTTGGAAAAAGGAAAAGAGCAGAAAATTTATAGACATTTTAATTTGAATTGAAGTTTTAAAAAAGTGCCAATTTTAGAAATCAAATTGACGCGTGTAGGTTAACAAAGATTTTATACATACATACAATTGGAAAGACTGGTGATTTTAAATTTTAAACTACGGGCAGTGTAGCAGCTACGTAAGAATACACACCTGATGATGGCCATTTAGGGCCGAAACATGTAGTGTAGAGGAAGGGAAGAAGAAAGAACTACAATTAAATTGTTGCACTTAAGACAGAATTTGTCTCATATATATTGATTTAGGTATTGTGTAAAGTGGTATCTACATAGAAAAGAAGTACAGTCGGCTCTCAGTGTAATATCCACTCAGTGGATTAATTTGCAGACTGTGAGATATCTGAAGTATTGATTATAGCTTGTCATGATTTAAATGTTGGCCATTACACCGGATATAGTAATAACACTGACCTGTGTCTGTGTTGGGGTAGATGTTAACAGAGCTATCCTGGATCCAAGAGGTGACCATCACGTACTCTGCAACATAGCTGGGGACCTGACATCGCAGTACAGCTGTGTTGCCACTGATGACATACTCATCATACACCTGCACTTCATACTTCTGCTTGACCACTGCAATCAAGTATGGACTAGAGCATTATTTTGTGACCTGCCAACCCTACTCATATTAGACACATTTACAGTATCTTCTTATCATGGAAAGACAATACCCCTCAGAGATCATATAGTTAACTGTAAATTTTTCTGAGAATTTAAGTATGTTATTATGGAAACATATAAAGTTAAAATTTTGTTGGTGTTCTTTCAGTCGCTGATTGGTCATATTCATTCTTACATGTCTGTATACAGTGATACTCCTGTTGAAAGACTTATTAACTATTAAGCTCTTTTGTTTGTTTGGATAAAGTCACGAAGTATTGTGAAAGACAACTGTAGTGTTAGTCGTTATAAGTCTTATAGGCAATCAAGACTGACTTTCGTTTGAATTAAAGCTATCAGTTTATACTGTGATTTATTGTATTTATTAATTTCAGTGAAAAATGTATTTTCATGTACCTCAATTTGTCGTTTAATCAACTGCCTGTGTACCAGCAGTCAAATTAAACCATTATACTCTCAATGGACACCAGTCTCCATATAAGCTATGTTGTAAGATGGTTGACTAGAAATTCTCTTCTTCAGAGTGTTAATTAGTTCTGCACTATTCTCCAGAGACACATTCTGAATCTTAAAGGAGTATTACTGTATACACAGAATGAAGTGGCTAGTAACTGGACACAGTCCATGCTTTCTGGGCAGCCTTATGTACAACAGGCTTCTGAACATGGCCAGAGAGTGATAGATTAAATGGAGGACATCAGAACTGTTTATTTTCATTAGTTTGTTACAAGAGTCACAGGAATTGAGATAAGAAACTTATATCCTAAACTGTGAGTTACAAAGAAAACAGAGGGGGATAATGCTTACATTTGTGGGTACATTTTGTGAACAGAAAATGGGCATAGTAAAACTTTGACACCAAACCGCTAATTCCATACTGACATGATTAAGTTCTCTACCTTTTATGGAGCCCAAAGATTTGATACTGATTTCACAAGAGTCTGCCAGTGAACTCTAAGAGTGATTAGTGTGATTCACATACTCTTTTAACTTCTCACAGTATGCAAAGTTAAAGAAAACCTCAGATATCACAAACATCATTTTAAGCAGCATGTAGCAAGAAAACGTTCTACATATGGTTCACATATTCTTGGAAAGTGGGTGCCAACAAATGCTATTGTGCTTTATGTGGGTAGATATACCTTCAAACCCTTTCTTTGCATTATTGTTACATAATCACATATTTACACAACTAAATGTAGTAAAACATAATTCATTCTGAGCTATTCTAATCAATCTTGTTCACTGTTTATAAAATATATATACTAAGACCAAAAACAGAGTCAGAATCCACCACATTTTAGCTTCAAAATTTCTTAGTAACAAACAGCATGTCACTTGTTTGTGAAATTCATATTTCAGGAATAAAATTATTTTCTACAATATTCAAGGGAAGTTAGTGTGAAGAAGACACATACACACCAACAGTTTGAAATCTGTAGGTTCTCGATGTCCCAAGTCCTTTTACTTTTAGGTTGGCAGGTCTTTATGTTACTTTATTTTTTGTCACTGTGTTGTTGTGCTTTCTTGTGATTTCTTTCAGTTATGTTCACAGGTTTGTAATTTTCTTTGAAATTTGTTGTAATTTTGTGTGTCCTGTCAAGGTCATTTACAATTCAAAGTTATATTTCAAAATTTGGGTGTTTTTTTATTTGACTGAAATTCAACTGAGGTTATTTCAGAAAATTCTGAATTTACATTTGTTGATTTGTATCTATGTCATACTGAAAAGTTGTATGGAGTGTTCATGCCATATACCAGTGTAATGACTTGAATCCATGTGTGCTGCTAATTTTGTTGCACTCCACATTTACAATTGTGGTAGGACAACTTCAAAATTATTTAAAGAAGGAAATTTTCTATAATGGCTCAAAAATATTCAGACACTACTAAATAAGCTAGCAGTGCATGACTGTAATTATGAATCATGAGTGCAGTGTGTACTTCCATTTGCTACGTACACCCTTGAATATATCTGAATGTTCTGGCTCTAAATAATTATAATCAGTTACTAGGAATATTTTGTGGTTTACAGCCCTTCAAATGAAGATTTTTAAGGTTTAATCATAACAGTGTTTGCAGTTGCCTTTATAATTACATTTTTACAACTACAATCATGTTTACATACTGGAACTATAAAATGGATTTTAAACTTTGTTCCAAAAGTTTTGAACTCAGACATTTAATTGGAATTTTCGTTTTACTTTTCTTAAATTTCTCATGTAATTAAGCTTGTCTTGAACAACCAAGAAAAAGGAGGTTAGTAGTTCCTCCTCAATTATTGTAAAGTTACACATGGAGGCTGTTCTTGAGCTTTTCCTCATTCTAAAACAATTTTAATATATATTTAATTCCTTCATTCATAATTCCATTTGCCTAATAAATCCCCTCATTTGGAATGAAGGTACAAAAATGCAAGGCAGAAATTTCAAAATTAGCAGCAAAACCTGAATTGGGAATTAAAAAGGTAAATTTAATTTTCAGATATCAGGGGAACTTTATGAAATATTAAAAATAAATAAAAATAAATTTAGTATTGCAATAAATTTCAAAATTTGTATTTTAATATATTTTGGTTTCTAAAATATTTTCATCTGCCATTCTGGATTACAATGCAAAGATTTAAAATTTCAAGAGCTTAGGTTTTAGGATGACCACCTCTATGGTCTAGTGGTCAGGGTTCCTGGCTACAGATCCAGAGGTCTGGGTTTGATTCCCAGCATTACCAGATTTTTTTTTCTGAGAAGTAGTGGGTCTAGAACGGGGTCCACTCAGCCTCGTGGTGATAATTGAGGAGATATTTGAAGGAAATAGCGGCTCTGGTCTAGAAAACCAAAATTAATGGTCATGGGGATTTGTTGTGCTGACCACACGACACACTCTATCTGCAAAAGTTGGCCCTAAACTTCGCCGACAAATGGCAGTCGCTCGGTCAATATAGTTCACTTGCGGACTAAAATCACAGTTTTTTTAGGTTTTAGGATATTTGCCCCATTTCCTCCCACAGCAGAACACTGAAGAGGACAACACAACATCTCCGGGGTCTTCTTTTCTCTGCATCACAGTAAGTGATTAGTTATACTAGGGGATCCTGTTCTTTACAGAACAACACAAACATTTATATTTCTGAAATTGTCGTTTTGTGTAACACTTTTCATCATTTGCAATTATGACATGTTAACTTCTGAACTCCTAATAGGAATTCCCCCATATCCATTATATGGCTGCACAGAATTTTGAGAGCACTTGATCCGAACTTATTGTGGTTTTGAATTGTTGAAAACATTACAGTATAGGTATGGTTCATTATATTTCCTGCAACACATTGTATGCATGTTGCCTTTGCACTGTGGCTTGTTATTCAGTACAGCCATTGTGCAGATCAAGTAGAATGGTTGCATGTGCTTCAGATCTATTGCAATTATGTGGTATGCTGAAGTCACGCAGTTTATGTCCACTTCTGGCTCCCTCTGACAGTTCCGCTTTGCTCAAGATCTTTTCGCTGGTCCCAGTGTCCATTGCTGTTCTTTGTGAGTGGTTCTGGCGTTCTGACATCTGACATCATTATTGCCCTCAGGTCTAAAGTGTTCACATTCACATGTTTGCTGTGAGGCTGGTATGGTGATTCCGTTCATTTCAGTCCTGCGGCAAACATTCAGGTATTTCTGTTCCTATTATAGAAGCCAACATCATGTTCTTCACTTAGCAGGGGTGTCACAAATGTAATCTTTGTTGCATGTTTACGTGTTTACCTTGAGTCTCAACAATCCCCCAAACCCCAGAGAATGAACATGCAACTTAGCACAGTTTGGCCTGTACTTGTTCAATATGTGTGCTAGTCCCTGGATGAAACTTCTTATGAATTTCATGCTATAGCCCTGATTTCAAAGTCAAAAGGCCTACTCAGGTTTTAATTTAGTATAAGAGTAAGTGACAAAAAAGGTCATGGCAATCCTAATGGTAGGTTCTGATATCCTTACGCATGACAAATGGGTGAACAAAGAATTTGTATAAAATACTGGCAGTTATTCTAATTTCTTTGTGTCTTTCTTCACTAATAATTAACAACATAAAATGTCATTAAAGTTTAATGAACTCTGCCTACTTATAAGGCATTCTATATTGCTCAGAAATTTTTCATGTTTTCCATCACTAACATTTACCAATATCAAATGTCATCAAATTTTAGGGAACCCTCATTTTTGAGAGGCCTTGCATGCTATATTGATCTTTTTTATCATGATATTTGTTGGTAATATATGCAAATATGTAATTTCAACAAATGTTATGAATGGGTCCTTCCTACAAAGTGTTCTTTCTTAGCATCAGTTTCCTTGCCAGTTTCCTTTCTAAGAACTATGAACAAAGAATTTAGCTAAAATAGAGGGATTTTTTACACATTCCTGTTTTTCATAAGTTCTGTTTCTAGGAAGAGTGCCTGCAGTCAGATTATAGGCATCCCAAGTAAATATTTAACCATTACTCTCCCATAATATTCAGTTCCCATTCAACAGATAATTACCATGACAAGTGATACAGAACAAACCTCTTTTCTTGTGGGTCTTCCTATTGCGTGCTGTGTGTTCACACTTTTGAGTTTTATCATACTATTAGAGTCATTACCATCACCAGAAGAAGCCTGGAATTTGACCACATTCTGAACCCGTCTAATCTAGTTCATATCCTCACTGTTTCCCTAAAATCCATTTTAATGTTACCCTTGAATCCAGTCATCTATAACCAATCTGAAACCTGCATGGAATTTAATATGCACTTTTGCTCTTCCCAGTTGTGACCTTCCTCATATAATCAAGGTAAAAGAACTGACACGTTCAGACTGTTTCAATTGATGGAGGCATGTTATATGTTCTACGATTTAGAAACTTCTATAATATATAACACCATGTATCACTAATGATATCAAAGAATGAATTTGCCTAAATGCACTCATCGTTATCACACTAAATATTTCAGTCTGATATATGAATATATACATAATTTCAAGACTAAAATTCCATTGTGTTCAGGAGAAGGAATTATAAATGGTCTGACATCTTTGTTCGTAAAATTACTTATAGAAAAAAGTAAGTAAAATGAATGAGAAATTTATCTAATTTCATAATGAAAATTTATATTGTACAGTTCATGTGATGTCTAGTATCTCAACAGCTCAAAATTAGCAATTTTCAATAAAATATTGCCTCAGATGAGCATGTTTCATTTCCAAACAACATAATGAGAAAAAAATAGCTACACACCTGCCCGCACATGGACATCACGGCTGACAATCTGTCCCATCTGGTTCCATGCCTTGCACCGGTACAGAGCTGTATGGATGTCATGGCGGTAATGCACTGCTGGAAAGGGTGGGAACACCAGGGAACCGTTGGGGTGCACTAGGCGGAGGTCTGGGATCTGTACAACAGGAGTACCATCCCCCAAACTCCATCCCAGCTCAGGCTGCGGACTGCCGTGTGCAGAGCAATCTACACGGCCTCCTGAACTGTTAGAAAACTCAACCCGATGGGGAGGCTCTTGTATGAATACAGGTCCCTGCAGATCCAGTGCCACACTCCACACTGAAACACAACAGAAACTCCAGTCAAGGTGCAACCTCCAAATTAATTACACTCACAGGTCAACAAATATGAGTCCTTTGCAAGATACAAACTTGTATTCCTTGTAAAGATTTCTGTCTACTGGGCAGCAGGCTCCTTTGCAATGTTGATAATGTTCTAGTAGACCATACTGCAAAACGTCCTTAGAGAGATAAATCTTCAGAGGCAGCACCATGAGAACCTAAAGTCTCATATTGTATTCTCAGTGTTTAGGGAGCTGTATGACAACTGTGTTGTCACTTTGTGTGGATACCAGTTTAAAAGCAGGTGGCTCAATATCTTATCCCTTTGATCCCCTGCGGTTTTCTCTAAATGCTCTTCATAATGTTGTGAGCTGCCCTGATTTCTGTTCCAGTCGCCCTCCTGTGGCAGTTGTATAGGGTCACCATGTTCCTCAACACCTACTGTAGGTAGGCCACCCCTCTGGGCTATGTGTTCTTTCTTATTCCTGTGCAGTGAAAGCTAAAGCTGTCCCTCTGCTCATCTACTTAAGCACTATTCCATGAAGGTGTATGGGAGAGTACATGTATAGATCCACAGTTTCTTGACATCAGCACTAGCTGAAGGCGAGTAGTCAGCTTCACTCCCCAGCCACTTTCCCCCCTGGGGAAAGATCCCCCAGTACCCATTGAATAGGAGGTCGAGTGGACCCCAGAGCCGGTCTGGACGACATGGAGAAAATTCTTCACCCTACTGGGACTCAAACTCCAAACCCCTCGGTCGTCCAGCCCGTAGCCAGTCGCTATAACGACTACGGTATCCCGGCTGTAAGTGTTGTGTAGTGTACAGAAAAATAATGAAAAGTGTTTAGGGAAAGGCTAAAGAAAACCCATCAATTAATTTGCCTGTAAGCTGATTCCGAATGATGGGCTGGAAAAGACTGACAAATCACCTCAAGAGGTAACGTTTCTGACTTGCATTTGTGTGGTTCCTGGTTCGAACATCGAACGGGACGCCAGTTCATCCTGATTGATTTCCTGGCCCACCTCAGTCCTAAACAAATGCCGAAGTAGAATGTCAAACTTCGCCATATATTATCCAATTCATTATTAACCGTCAACCTTCCACTTGTCGCGTAAGTATCCCGGAGCTATTGACTATGTCATTAATAAACCGCAAGAAACATTAAATGAACTGGATCGAGTAAGGTATTCTTACAATTTCCCCTGTGCTTAATTCGTGGTGTGGTTATTAATTAAATAAGCATCGCGCCATGAAGACGTATCGGGGACTTGAGATGTTGCTCCACTGTTCTTGACCTCGATACTACATGGAGGCGAGTAGTCAGCTTCACGCTTCGACCGCTTTACCCTGGGTAAAGAGGCCCTGATACCCACTGGAGAGGAGACTAGTTGACCCTCAGAGTCAGCCTGGACGCTGTAACGAGCAAGGTGTCTTTTCCCTGAGGGGAATGGAACCCCGGCCGTCCAGCTCGTAGCCTGTCATGGTACTGAGCTATCGAGCTGGAACGAAACTGAAGAAATTGCCGTAGCGTATTTTATTGTAATGTCTTTGGAGCACCTGAGGAAAATGGGGATTATCCTGAGATATCGTTCTCCAGCTAGCCAGATATATCTTCCGGAGGCCATTGTTGCGTCATTTCACGTCGTTTTCGTTCTATCATTAAAATCATCGTATAAGTATATGATCCATCATATTTTATTTGTTTTTTTTTTTTCGTTTATATAGTCAAGCTGTCAGTACTCAAAACTCTGGATAGCTGATGAATACAAAACTGGGAAGGTTTTGGCAGGAAGAGGTCCAGTCCGATTTGAGGTACCATGACGGTATTTACCTGGCGAAAGTGAGAATCCCAATGAATAAATTTCACCATAGTCAATTTCCCTATCGGGATTCGAACCAGGTGCCTACCGAATACAATTCAGAAGAGTTACTGCTTGAGCCAAGTTCCTCGATCCGATTCTGTTGAATGGCGTCGTTAAATAACCCAAGAATCGTCATGAATCATCAGCTGACAGTTCTGAAAATTAGAGCCGTGTTATTAAGTTGTGATTAGTACAGGCGCAACAAAGAGTGGGGTCCTGTCATTTCAGTATGGACATTTCCAGAAGTTGGGCTGCTCCGTCTCGAGAAGAGGTGCTAAGCCTAATCGCGGATGTACTTGAAACTTATCCGTAGGGCACTTGCTTTGTCACGGGACAGAATTAATGAAGGTCCATTGTGCGATGTTCCCCTCTTAAGCTGGGAGGCTGTGGGTGGCTCTGTGATGAGGCATGGGTTCTTGAAACGTTTATGGGACGAAGGCTCCCAAAACAGGGTAAACAATTACAATCCGTAACTGGACATTATACCGCCTCTAACTCTCAACGCCAAAACATGGACCCTCACCAAAACAAGAAAAAAGAGAGGAAAAAAAGTAAGCAGAATCCAAGCAGCGAATATGAAATTCCTGAGAACAGCTCTGGGAGAAACAAGAAATGTTAGAGTGAGAAAGAACAGAGCTCTGCTTTCCACCTTCCTTCACGTTGGTTTCTTCCTCTGCTTATTCTTCGACTCCGAAGATGGAAACAAGTTCCTCCGAAACGTCGGTTGACTTTCAACGGACTACACTGCGTTATATCCCAGAAGATAGAATTCTTCATAACCACCGCTGTGAGAACTTCAAATCCTGCGCAGTTTAATAAATACGTTAATTACATGCAATGTGTAAAGACACGTAACAAAGCAATGTTAGTAGCTATTGATGTGGTCATTTATTGTGTCGGGCAGTGCACAGTGGCTTTAAACTTTACAGTTGCAACCACGGCACGACCAGTGTACTTACTGGAGAGTGTTTAGGTCCTCATGTACACACCGCAAGAACTTTCAATTGCCCAGAATTCTCTCAGTGATGGGAATAGAGGCCATCGACTATTATAGACACTGTAATTTCGTAAGCCTCTGACCATGCAGGTGGCTTCCGTTTCTGTTCGTTAGCAATAAACTAGTCGTTAAATCGTCTTTGCGAATTATACGCTTGAGAAGCGCACGCTGGACGAGCAACATTGCTGGTACAGGAGATCAGTTCCACGAAATTCTGCGTCGTGGCAGATTTTATGAAATCATTTACAGTTTGTTAAGGCAAAATGAATTTGTTTGTTTCAATAAGCATCACTCCATGAAAGGTATGGGAGTTTGAGGTATAATTCCATGCACCCTTTTTCGTGATTTATTTTATGGCGGTGCCAGTGTTTAGCTATATAACATTCACTAGTGGTTTGGTTAATTAGTTGAAGGAGTTTTCAGGGAAATAGTTATGACCTAACCGGGTCAATATCCCTGAATTTGCATGGAGGGCCTGGTTAAAACCGCGAAACTCCTCAGCCAGGCTAGTTGGTGTTCCGACCACGATCTGATCTCAAAATCTTAAGTTTAGGTGACGCCAGGTAAAATTATGACTTGTCGCTTCTGATTGACGTATTTAAACAAAGCGGTGCTGCTGTGTGCTTAAAACTCTGAATCTGTTGGTCATTTGGCCCCACGTTGTATAGCTGCAGGTCAACCAAACCCGAGAAATGGGCACCATATTCTGGCTTTACTAAGTAAAGTTGCCCCTGTGCTTAACTAATTAAGCACTGTGCCGCGAAGAATTATGGAGGAGTGGAGGTATAGATCGAAGTTTTCTTGGCCTCGGCAATAGTTGGAGGTGACTGATCAGATTCACGCCCCGACACTTTACCGCCGGTACCCATCGGATAGGAGGTTGTGTGGACCCCAGAACCGGTTTCGACCGTAAACTGCCTTCATCAGATGATGTATACAAATCAATAATATAGATTTGTCCTGATAATACAAATTTGTTAATATCAGGAACTGCATAATATAACGACAGCAACGCACTGTGTGTCCGTTACCAAGACTAACCGATTAATACTGTTTCGAGAAGTAATCTGGGTTTATTTTGACAGTCATGCTAAAGACACAGGAATGTAATGTTTTCTTAGTGCTCAAGGGGGTGGTACCCTGAAATGTTAAGCTTGTGCGTTGATGTTTGCGTGGTAGCTGCAGTGCGCGTCCCCAAGTGATTACTAAACCCCAGAGAAGCTCCATCGAAGGGTCAGCACATTACAGTATCAAGGAAAATAGTGTCATGTGATAGACGACCTGGCCGCATGCATAGAGTCAGTGCTGTGAGAATATGTATCCGCAGCGTTGCCACGCGAGAGAGGGATGGGGAGTATGCAGATGTGACGTTTCATGGGGTAATGGAATATTACGCAAATGCTGACAACCCTGTACTTATTTTAATTTTCATAAGAGCTGACGTCATCATGATGTAGATGTTTGCGCGATACGCCACCCGTTTGCGCTGTGAACTTCCCAACGAAATATCTGAGCGTACTATTACGTGCTGCAACTCTCCTACTTTGGGGTCGGCCTGCTGGTTTCTGACTTGTATGCGGGAAGTGCCAGGTTCGAATCTAGGCCCGGGGCACCCACTGATCTGGCTGAAACTGGTTTTTGTGTTTCTGAGTCCCTCCTGGAAAATTCCGGGATAGGATCTGGAGTAAGTCCAAGATCATCCGATTCAGTATGCTATAATCGCACAACATTCGACACTATGCAGACTGAGCTATTAACAGTGCAGTTAGATAAGCTGTGGCGCGTCCTTAGGCTGCGGAAGCTCTGACACTGCGTTCTGCTTTTATGCCGTTATGTGCAACTTCGGTTACTACTCACTAGATGCTTCGACCTAAGCGGCCATATTCAGGGGTACAGGTTGTTGTGATTAAGGAATCTGCCGCTCTCGTATGCGGTGACGAGCCGATCACAGTGGCCGCGTGGTCTAAGGCATGAACAGGCTTCGCTCGCTCGAACACTGGGATCGTGGGTTGTCCTGTTGAAACTAACGGATTTAATGTAAATTGTAAAGTTGTCTCCGTTCGTAATTACTATGCCACAAAGACTTGCGTGGGAGTGGTGTTATGACTCCACCGTTCCTAATCTCGGCACTAGGTGCA